GCTCGACGAGAGGGTGTCTCCACAGTGAGCAGACGAAGCAGCAGATGATTGCGGAGAAGCGTGGACGTCGACACAACCCTTCAGGAGAGCACCGCGACGATGAGACAAAGGAAGCGACAGGAAAGTGAGGCGACGTGTTGGCAGCAGTGCTGGCGAGACGAAGCAACGTATACAGGCCAGGCTCCGCGCGGGAGCCGAAGGAGCGGCCGGAGGAGGGAGCCCGTGCCTGGGGGCGACGCTTTCCTCTCGGAGGGTGGCGCGCGCAGGAGGCGGGGCAGGAGACATGAGAGTTAGGTCGGGCACGTCCCTCTACAGGAGGAATATTCGAGAATGGTAAAACATAGTCTGGGGGCGATGTTTCAGGCTCTTTTGACGATTTGCGCATTTTCCAATATATAGTTTGAGTTTCTTCCCCAATCCGCCTCTAGGAGGACATGCCCGACCTGACGTTAGAGCGAGGCCCGCTTGCTGGCCCCAGGTGCCGTCAAGGAACGACTCAGAATGAACAGCCAGCTCTCCGAGGAAGGGAGGCACAGAGACATACTAGTATTACATCTCCTCCTTGGAGGAACGCGTCCGACCCGAACATATAGTATACCCATCTTGTAGTATCTCGGTTCCCGAACGGTACGGCCAGAAAGTGCCCGCAAACGATGCTATACTATAAGATTTCTCGGGTCGGGATCTGTGTGGGACCATGCCACGAACCAATGGTGACGTCGGAGGAGGGTTCCGACGTGTTAGCAAAAATCAGAGCTGCAGATTTCTTGTGCCGTGTTCGGCTCTGGGTCTCGACTGGCGGGCCCTGAGCCCCTCGAAGAAGGCCCAAGATCGAACGCCATCCCTTGTCAAGGGGTCGACTCAGGAACGCGCTGACGACGATGTAGATAACGGCGATGTAGGTTTCGGTACGGCGGGGGCATTGGTTAAGGAATGTGCCCAAGAGGATTCAGACCCCGGAGGATTTCTGATCTGATTTGGGCGGCGACGACATCCATGGCCAATCCACGAGTGAAGTTCCGTTGTCTTCCAGACCCTGGATTCCTTATCCAATGGTTCCTTATCCAATGCCCTCACCGCATTGTGGGTGGGGGTAGTTCGTGGCCAACCCAGTTGCAAGAAATTCGTGCTTTTCTGTACTTTGTTCTGCGCGAGCTCGGCGCCGCCAACAAAACCAGCTTCCCAACATCGCTGTTCAGCAACATCCCCAGACATCCGGCTGCTCAGATTTTTTCGATGCGTGGGCCCCAGAAGTCGGGACCACTTCGCTAGGTCCCTTTTTCGTCCTGAGTCTTTTCTTTATGTTCCCGAGGTCAGGGGAGGGCCCATGCCGAAAACGGCCAAAAACCGCCTGCTCCAATTTTTACGGAGCGTCGGATCTTTAGGTCGATTTTAGCGTGGCCTTGGTCCACTCGGGGATTGATCGAATCTGCTCGCGGCGCCGACTTTTGTTGACCCCCTCGAGGGCGCTGCGGCCCCGCCCGCGAGGCTTGACCCCCCAGGCCGTTTTCATTAGAGGAGGTTCTGCTAGAGTGGGGGTTGTCTCGGAAGCCGGGCGAGGGCTGGCAAATCCGTGGCTGCCAAAACGGTCTTCCCGGAAGATAAAAACAAATTCCCGGAACCTGCGCGCTAAATAGTAAACGGGCTTCCCGGAAGGACCACACTATTTTCCGGAGCTTCGTTTTAGCAGCCACGGGTCTGCCAGCCTTCGCCTGGCCTCTGATTGTCGGACGGGAGACTTCGGAGTTCGAAGTTTTCGGACGTTGTCGTCGGTTCTCGGCGGTTTGTTGGCCGGTGCTCTCCAGCAGCTGCGCCTCGCCGCGAGCTTTCCGAAGGTGCCCGGATCGGCGCGCGCGGCCGCCCTGTGCGGCCCGAGGCCTGACCCCCAGACACGGCCAGGCGTCGAGGGCCCCCGGTCGGCGGCGCCCTGCAGGGGCCCGGATGGCGAAACGAGACGCGACGCCAGAGGCCCAGGCCCTGTCGGTCGACGGGTCCAGGGCCCATCAAGCCGTGGCGAAGCGTCCTGGCGTGCCCATAGTCCTACCAAGCAATGTTCTAAGAACCTTTTTGTGGTTCCCACGAAATGTTCTTAGAACAGTTCTGGCTGGGGCTGTCTTGTTTCAACACATCGAGCGTACGTTCTAAGAACACTGTGTTTGTGATTCGAACATTTGTGGGTTCCAAGAACCTTTCGTGGTAGGACTATAGGAGTGCCGGGACGGTCGGTCCCGGCTCAAGCCCAGGTCGGGGCTCGAGAGGCCCAGACCCCCTCGGGCTATGAACAAAATCACGGCGGGAGGTTTTTTCCCGTTTTCGGCCTCTGGGGGCCCTTACCTGCCCTCAGGACCGTCAAAAAGCGACTCAGCCCTGACTCCGGATCCGCCCTACTTTGGCTTTTTTCCAACTTAAAATTGCGTCGGAAATCCACCTATAAGAAGCCGAGCAAGTAGGGCGGAAATGTCCGCCCCCAAGAAGCAAGGCTGATATTTTCGCCTTACTTTTGGGCGTTTCTATTCGTCGTTGAAGTCGCGCGTAGCAGAACGCGTACTTGTTCGAGTCAGGGAGGAAGAAGAGCCGGTCCAGGGGAATGGGTCGAGATCTCCAGGGGTCGAGATCTCCAGGATCCTGCAGGATGTTGCAGGATCCTTCGCATTGACCCGGGCGTGGGCGCAAGATCTTGCAGGATTTTGCAGGGCCTGACGGACCCGGGTCTCGATGGACACGGGTCAGAAGATCCCCGATTAGGTTTCCGTCGGGCATGTCCCTCTCTACAGGAGGAAGATTCAAGCAGAGTCAAACAAAAGTGTGGGGACGATGTTTTGACAATTTTTGGCTGTTTCCCCGAAAGGGTTCTGGCCCAGGGTTCCCTGTTAGACCCAGACCCCCGACGTTATTTTCTTGTTCGTCGACCCCTGGAGGTCTCGACCCATTCTCCTGGACCGGCTTTTCATCCTGAATCGTTTTTTGACGGTCCCGACGGCCGGCAAGGGCCCCCCAGACCCCCGAGGCCGAAAACAGCAAAACGAAATCTTGCCATGATTTTTTCATTACCCGATAGGGGGTCTGGGGAGGCTTTTCGGAAACTGGGGCCTATATGCCAGTGGCGGGCCGTCAGGTTCCAATCCCAGGATTTTTTGAGGGTCGGGGGCGACGTCGGGGTGGTGTAGTGTATATTTGTTTCCCCTTTCTCCCAGGGAAAATTGGAACATGTATACACCAGAGTTCCAGAGTTCCGCTGTCTTGCGCAAAAGTCCGTGCAGGGCCGCACAAAAACGTTGGTGTATAGAGCGCGGCTCCCTAGCTTTACCCCTGGGGACGACTCGAGCCGGGCCGGTCGACAGATCTCGGGCCCGGGTGTCGAGGCAGGCCGCGGCGCCAGAGGTCTGGGGCCGGGAGGTTCCCCGAGCCCTCCAGAGCCTCGGGGAAGCTCCAGGCCCAGAACTCCATGGCGTTGCCCAGACCACTTCCTCCTCCTCCTCCACCTCCTCCTCCTCCTCCTCCACCTCCTCCTGCTCCTCCTGCTCCTCCTCCTCCTCTCTTCCCTTCTCCTCCTCCTCCTCCTCCTCCTCCTCCTCCTCACCCTCATCCCTCATCCCTCATCCTCATCCTCATCCTCCCCCTCCTCCTCCTCCTCCTCCTCCTCCTCATCCTCCTCCTCCTCCTCCTCCTCCTCCTCCTCATGCTCCTCCTCATGCTCCTCCTCCGCATCCTCCTCCTCCTCCTCCCCCTCCGCCTGCTCCTCCTGCTCCTCCCGCCTCCTCCTGGTCCTCCTCTCAGGGCCCAGATTCCTGATCAGGAGTTCCCGTGTAACCGTTGTTGCTGGAACGGTGTCCTTGGCCGCAGGGGTGCCCCCATGATTTTTCTTGCAGTCCAAAAACGGTGCGAAAAGTTGGACGCCTCGGGCCAGGAGCGGCGGGCGGGTGGCGGCGGCGGTGCAGGCAGGCTAAGACAGGGTTAAACCGCATGCCCCAGATCGTAAGGTATACCTCCCCTGAATCCCTAGGAGTTGATCATCGCGGGCTGAGACAGAGCTGGTCGGGGGCCGAACTTCTTTCTCGCCGTGGGAAGTACGAATCGAAGTTGCGATCTTCGTAGGTTGAGAAGCAGCACTATCACGACCGTGTGGCAGGTATGTGGGATATAATAGATATCGCTATACCGTGCTATTTCTCAGGCTTCGTGATCCTCCGACCCCTCCAAGGAGGCCCCGCCAGAACTAGCAGGGCATCACGATACCATACTATTTCTCAGGTTCCGTATTCCTCCGACCCTTCCACGAAGGCCCCGCCAGAGCGAGCAGGGCAACGCTATACCATTCTAACATCCCATCCCTACACCAGTGCCTGCGAGTTACCAGGACGAGAAATTGATTGTCCCCCCCGACCCCCGAACTTTCTTATCCCCCGTGTGCGCTTATCAGGGGCACTCGGTCAAGTTAGAAGTGGGTATCTGGGGGGAGCAGGAATGGGAGGGGGAGGGGGAGCAGGAGGGCGAGAAGGGGAAGGCGCAGCCTGAGATCTAAGCTCGTGCCGGGCGCGGGGGCCTTGCAGCCACTATGGCACTATGGCCGCTTCGCTCCCTGCCAGCCTCCAAGCCCAGCTCGACAGGGCACGCCTTGCCGATCGGCGCAGGTACCGGCTGGGATCTCAAGGAGATGGACTCCTCAGTGAGGGGCTCAATCTCCTTGAGAGTCCTCACTCACAGGGAAGGGGGAGAAAGGGAGGGGGAGGAAGGAGGAAGATGCGGGAGGAGACAGGAGGAATACGAGGAGGAATGGAGGAGGAGGAGGAGGAGGAGGAGGAGGAGGAGGAGGAGGAGCAGGAGCAGGAGCAGGAGCAGGAGCAGGAGCAGGAGCAGGAGCAGGAGCAGGAGCAGGAGCAGGAGCAGGAGGAGCAGGAGGAGCCGGAGGAGCAGGAGGAGCAGGGAGAGGAGGATCAGTTGGCACGCTCGGCGTACGCACAGAAACGCGAAAGACGGACGATCTCCCCCCCCGCCCACAGGACGCTGCGCGTTTGGGGCAGGTCCATGGAAAGCAGCGGCCCCGGCCTCGGAGACGGCGTGCAAAGGGGCCGCGGCTCGCCCATAGGGGCAAGCAGGTCCTGAGAGGGAAGTGGGTTCTCGGGTTGTTCGCTGTCTTTGGCTACGCCCGGGGCCCTCCCACGGGCGCGGGGACTGCCAGGAGACGGCTCGGGATGAAAATCTCGTCCCAGGGGAAGGCCTCTTCCTCCTCCTCTTCCTCCTCCTCCTCCTCATCCTCCTCCTCATCCTCCTCCTCCTCCCCCTCCTCCTCCTCCTCCTCGTCCTCCTCCTCCTCCGCCTCCTCCTCCTCCTTCTCCTCCTCCTCCTCCCTTTCCTCCTTCCCCTCCTCCTCCTCCTCCTCCTCCTCCTCCTCCTCCTCCTCCTCCCCCCTCCTTCTCCTCCTCCTCCTCCTCCTCCTCCTCCTTCCTCCTCCTCCTCCTCCTCCTCCTCCTCCTCCTCCCTCCTTCCCCTTCCTCTCCTCCTCCTCCTCCTCCTCCTCCTTTGGCCTCCTGCTTCTTCTCCTCCTCCTCCTTCTCCTCCTCCTCCTCCTCCTCCTCCTCCTCCTCCTCCCCCTCCTCCTCTTCCTCCTTCTCCTCCTCCTCCTCCTCTGGCTCTCGTTTCTGAGGCGAAGGTGGGGGTTTGGTTGCGCGTGCCAGGTCAATTCCCAGGAACATATGGGACACACAGGAAGTTTTGGTGACTTGCAGAATTACAGGACCTTTGTGGGAAATGGGGGGATCTTGGGATTTGTGGTTCTTTAGTTGCTTGCCCCTGGCCCCCTCTACTCTCTCTCTCTCTCTCTCTCTATCCGTCTCGCTTCACGCTGCCCGCAGTATCTTCCTTGCCAGCGCAGTTGAGCACTACTGGGTCTTGCACACGCGTCTGGTGTTCGACCTCGTCCTCCTTCCCTCGTCGGCGAGCGAGGGGGGGAAGCGAGAGTGAGAAGGCCTTCTCAGAAGGCGGCTGAACTTCTCAGAAGCCCCCGCGCCCTCTGAGAAGTTTCCTGCGTTTTCGGGGAAGGCTTAGAACACTCTTCAGAAGGCCGGGGGACCTCCCAGCCTTCCGAGAAGGCCTTTTCTCGCTTCCCCTGGGGCTTGCTGCCGATTCCCCCCGCCGCTGAGCCGGCAGACGTGCGGCCGTTGGGCACCACCAGGCCTGATCGACCGTCCAATCGTTCGGCGGGGGGAGGCAGCAGCACGAGCAACAGGGGCAGGGGGGGCCGAAGGAGCAGGAGCAGAAACACGGGGAGGATGGCGCGGATGATGATGATTGATGTGAGGTGAAGAAGCACCATGTCGGACATGCAAAAGCAGGCATGAGGACAGGACGGGGAACAAGGCCGCGCAGAGGAGGATGAGAGGGGGTGTCAATACACATCGAGTAAGGTAAAACGGAGGAGCATGGTGAGAAGCGACAGGATGAGGAAGATCAGCAGCAGGATAACACCGACAGTCCGACCATTGCCCCGCACAGAAGGAAAGGACTGGCGATGCAGATGTTGATCACAAGGAAGATGGCGAGAAGGAAGAGGATGCCACCGTGGAGGGCTAGGAGAAAGAGTATGCCACCGTCAGGAACTTTGGCTCAGCGTTTCGCACCGCTGTCCATGGCCCACCACGATTCGGCGCGACACGCTATCCGTGTCCCAACTCCCAAGCGCTCAGCGTCCCCAGCCTTTTCCCCGCCTCCCGCCCCACGGAGCAGAGCGACACGCTATCCGCTTGCGGATCTTAGCGCCCAGACCCCCGACGTCGCGATTTCTTCTCGACGCGACCCGCAAGCGTCTGGACCCCTTCCCGAGGACCCGTTTGGCGTCCTGAGCCGCTTCCTGTCGGTCCCGAGGCCCGGCGAGGGCCCCTGGAGGCCGAAGACATAGCGAGGAGCCGTGCGTCGTGCGACGTGGCTTTCTCGCCGCGCGAGGTCCGGGCGCGTCGCCGAGCCCTCCGCCGCAGCACCGCTTATAAGCCGATAAGCTCCTCCTGGCCGTGCGCAGTGGCCGGGCGGCGGTCGCGGGGGTGGCGGCAGCGCTCCGGCCACGGCAGTCGTCGCGTTCAGGCGATCGCAAACATGGTTTGTGGAAGTCGATCAACGGGGAGGAAGCATGCTGCCAAATAATTTCCAGATGTCGAAAAATGTTTCAAACATGCTTTACATATAGAAAGCATGTTTGAAACATGTTTAGAACATGCTTTTACACCTTTTAAACACACTTTTAAGTCAATGATCGGACTGTTAGAGTGTCCATTGTCATGGCATCCACAAAAACATGGATCAAGGGAGCGTGGATCACGGACAGGTTCCGTTTTCATTGGACATCGCAGATTTCCGCCGCCGACCGAGTGGGCACGGGTCGTGTTTTGGCATCGTGATCGTTTTTTTATTCATTGTTTTGCCGATCGGCGCGGGCCCTTTCAACCTCCCCCCTCCCTGAAGTAGATCTTGGCTTTTTTTGGCGCTTGTTTGGAGCAGGCGGAGTCTCCCCCACAGGACGCACCGTTCCAAACAGCCGCGCCAAGCAGAGGTCCGGAGCCGGACCCCTCCCCTCCCCCCCCTTCCGGCCAATGTCGAAACGCCGGATAAACAAACGCTCACATTTTGGGGAGGGCGCCTCCCCCGATCATGGATGTGGCGACCGCGCGCCAGATGTATGTCGGGCGTGTCCCCCTGCAGGGGAATTCATTTTCGACGAAAAACTAAAAGTACTCCAACAATACCCCCACAAGGTCAAAAAATACTTCAAAAATGGTCCCCAGACTATTTTTGGATTTTTTTTTATTTGTTTTGGAGTATTTTTTTTCTCGTCGAAAGTCTCCCTGTAGGGAGACAGGCCCGACTGAACGCCAGTCCCATGGATCGCCATAGTCCCTGTCTGCGCGCCCCCGGGTCGCGGCCCCGGCCGCCGAGGCCCGGACCTGGTCTGCCAGAGCATCCACCTCTGCGCTGCCGCGCGAGCCTCCTCTCGGCGGCACCCCAACAGACGACGACGACGACGACGGCGACGGCGACGACAGCGACGAGGACGACGGCGACGAGGACTACGACGAAGACAACGACGACGACGACGACGACGACGACGACGACGACGACGACGACGACGACGACGACGACGACGACGACGACGAGGACGACGACGACGACAACGGCGAGGACGACGACGACGACACTCGACCACGACGACGACGACGACGGCGGCGGCGGCGACGGCGACGGCGACGGCGAGGCCGCGGACCTACCGCAGCCGAGGCCAAAGGTGCCATGTCGCCTCACCTTCCGCGCCCTCCCCCCCAAGGGTGTGCGTCGCCCCCCCAAGGTTGATGCACGCACCGAGAAGTCTCAGAGTATGTGCATCGTGGCGGGCGCTCCCTGGGCCGTACCGCTCGGGAAACGATGTTTTGCAAGATGGGTACACTACTTCTTCGGGTCGGACGCGCGCCTCTGAGGAGGACACATAGTCTATCGTACTAGTATGTCTCTGTGCGTTCCCATCCTCGGAGGGCTGGCTGTTCATCCTGAGTCGTTCCTTGACGGCAGATGGGGTCGAAGTATCGCGCCGAATCGCCGATGCATCGCCGATGCGGCTCGATGTGGGGCCCGATTTGCTCCACGTCGACGTCGCCGATGCATCGCCGGTGCATCGCCGATGCATCTGCGATGCATCTGCGATGCGGCGCGATCCTGGGGCTCCAGCTATAGGAGGCCTCCGTGGACGGCGCCGGGGCCAGGAAGCGGCCTCTCCAGAGGCCGACTGACAGCGTCCAACAGGCAGCCGCAGCTCTCTCTCTCTCTCTCTCTCTCTCTCTCTCTCTATATATATATATATGTATATATGTATATGTGTATGTGTATGTATGTATGTATGTATGTATGTATGTATGTATGTATGTAGGGAGGTAGGTAGGTAGGTAGGTAGGTAGGTAGGTAGGTAGATAGGTATGTATGTATGTATGTATGTATGTGTGTATGTATGTATGTATGCATGCATGTATGTATGTATGTATGTATGTATGTATGTATGTATGTATGTATGCATGTATGTATGTATGTATGTATGTATGTACGTAGGTGTGTAGGTATGTAGGTATGCAGGAATGTTGGTATGTAGGTATGTAGGTATGCATGCATGTATGTATGTATGCATGTATGTATGTATGTATGCATGCATGTATGTATGTATGTGTGTATGTATGTATGTTTGCATGCATATATGCATGCATGTATGCATGTATGTATTTATGTATATATGTATGTATGTATGTATGTATGTATGCATGCATGCATGCATGCATGTATGTATGTATGTATGTATGTATGTATGTATGTATGTATGTATGTATGTGTGTAAGTATGTATGTATGTATGTATGTATGTATGTATGTATGTAATGTAATGTAATGTAATGTAATGTAATGTCTGTCTGTCTGTGTGTCTGTCCTGTCTGTCTGTGTGTCTGTCTGTCTGTCTGTCTGTCTGTCTGTCTGTATGTATGTATGTATGTATGTATGTATGTATGTTTGTATGCCTGTATGTATGCCTGTATGTATGTCTGTGTGTATGTATATCTGTGTATATGTATGTATGTGTGTATCGTTTTCTGACGCTCCCGAGGCCCGGCGAGGGATCCCCGAGGCCGAAAACGGCCAAACACCGCCCGCTCCAAGTCTTTGTCGGAGCGTCGCCTCTCTAAGAGCCAGGCCCCCGACGTCATGAGTCTTCTTCCCGGAATGAAAGGCAGAGGCCCAGGGCTTGCTCTTAGCAGTGTACCTGTCCCCGGTGCCATGCGGGGGGCAGGCCAGCGGACGTTGCCTTTGATGAATACAAGGAAAAAGTGGGCCGGCAGATCTTTTTCGGGGGGGGTCCCAAGCAAAACGCCTGTGTTGCCTATAATTTGTGGAGGATGTCCCGAGCGAGCCCCTCGCTTTGCAGAGCTGGGGGAGGCTCGAGCGAAACGTTTGTTTTCTCGTGTCCAGGACGCTCAGGCAGATGTCTGAAATGAAGATCTGTTGAGGATGTCTTGAGCGTAACGCTTGTTTTCACGTGCCCGGGTCGCCCAGGCGGAACATAAGGATGCGAAGAGGATGTCTCGGGCGAGACGCTTGTTTTGACATGCCCTGGTCGCCCCGGTGGATGCCTAGCATGAGGATTCGGGAGCCTTGAGACGGGGGTCAGTGCAAACGGGGGTCAGCCAGAGCGCCGGATTTTGCAGGATCCTGCAGGGCCAGGGTCGCATTGACCCAGGTTTGAGTGCAGGATCCTGCCGGTTCTTGCAGGATCCTTCGCATTGACCCGGGTTTGGGTGCAGGATCTTGCAGGATTCTGCAAGGCCTGACTGACCCGGGTCTGGATTGGCCCGGGTCAGAAGATCCCCGAAGGATGTGTTGAGAATGTCTTCAACGAAACGCTTGTTTTCACGTGACCAGGTCGCCCAGGCGGATGTCTAACATGAAGATGTGTTGAGAATGTCTCGAGCGAAACGTCTGTTTTCACGTGTCCATTTCGCCCAGGCGGATGTCTAGCATGAGTATGTGTAAGAGCATGTCTCGAGCGAAACGCCTGTTTTCGCCTGCCCATGTCGCCCAGGCGGATGTCTGACATGAGGATGTGTTTAGGATGTCTCGAGTGAGCCGTGATTTTTTAGGTGTCCAGGTCGCCCAGGCGGATGTCTAATGTGAGGATGTGTTGAGAATGCCTCGAGCGAGGCGCTTGTTGTCACGAGTGCAGGACGCACAGGTGGGCGTGTAGCGTGAGGGTGTGGGCTGGACGCCTCGAGCGAGACGCTTGCTTTCACGGGATCAGGTCGCCCAGTTACATGTCCAGCACGAGGATTGTTCGGGATGCCTCGAGCGAGGCGCTTGTTTTCACGTGTCCAGGTCGCCCAGGCGGATGTCTGGCATGAAGACGGGCTGAGAGTGTCTCGAGCGAGACGGTTGTGTTCAAGCGTCCAGGTCGCCCGGGCGGATTTCTAGCATCAGGATTTGTTGAGGATGTCTCGAGCATCCGTCCGTGGGGCGTCCCCTGGCGCGCTGGCGCGTCCCCTGTGAGGTCGTCTACTGCTCGTGATTGCACGGCGTGCGCGTTGCAGAGCGCGGCCCGCTGCTGGCCCACTTGCCGCGGGTGGTTGCGCGAAGTGACGTTGGACAACCGTCTCTACGTGGCTTGCCCTGGCACGTCCCCCAGCACGCCCCTCGGCGTGGCACACTCCCTCGCTCGTCCTTTGCCGCGTTTCCTGGCTCGCCCTCGGGCGTTTCCCCTGCCCGTTTTGTGGCGCACCCCTCACCGTGTCCGCGGGCGTGACGCCCTCTGGCCCGCCCTAGAGGCGCGCGCTTGGGCACGTCCTGCGGCAGGCCCCATGACACGTGCAGGGTATACGTCCCTCAATACTCGGGGGTGGACAGAACCCACCCCCTGACACGTCGATTCATGATTTGTCCGTTTCCGTTTCTCGAGAGGGCACCGAGGCCGTCATGTTCCAGGCTTGCGCTCGTCAGGTTCGGGCCCGAGGTCGTTTTCACCAAACCACGTTATGCTAAAGGGGGCTCTGTCCATCCCCGAGATGCGTCCCCTGACACGTTCCATGGCGCATCTCCGAATGCGCCCCTGGCACATCCTGTGGCGCGTCTGTGAGCCTGTGCACCGAGTCGTGTCGCCCCTCTTCTGAGCTGAGTCCGAGTCTGAGCTCGAGTTGACCGAACGTCCCGCGCGTTGCGATTTCAAGGCAGCTCTGGGCCAGCTGATCTGTGCTCAGGCTGCTCGAGCTGAAGGTCCAGATCAGTTCGGTCAGGACTCGGGTGCTAAGGAGGACTCAATCCACAACGCTGTAGAGCACAATCGCGGCATGGAACATCGCAGCTCAGCATGGCACAGCACCGCACAGCCCTTGGCGCGGTACATCAAGATCGATACGGTCAGCATTGCAATTGCCCGTCGCCCTCTCAGGTTTCTTGAAAACGTTGTCACGCCTCACTCTTCTATATTCTTTTCCAGGTTCGTGAGTCGATCATGTTCATGGCGTCGACCCCCAAAAGGTCTGGACCCATTCCCCAGGATCGGTGTTGCTGTTCGCCTGAGTCGTTTTTTGACGGTCCCGAGGCCCAGCGAGGGCCCCCCGAGGCCGAAGATGGTGAAACAAATCTCATCGTGATTTTTTCAGAGCGCGAGGTGGTCTGGATCTTTGCTTCCTCCCCTCACGCCCTCACCAGGAGGTCTGGAGGTCTGGACCGCTTCCCTATAGGCCCCGTTTTTGGTCCCGAGGCGGCTTCTGAAGCTCCCGAGGCTCGGCCGGGGCCCCAGCGGCCGAGAACGGCGAAGCAGCTCCCGCCGTGATTTTTCCACGATGTGATGTTTTTAGGCATCTCAGATAGGGTCCGAGTAGAAAAGGGTCGGATGATCGCGCCGCATCGCCGATGCAGCGACGATGCGGCTCGATGCGGAGACCGTGCTTCCCCACGCTGGCGTCGCCGATGCATCGGCAATGCGGCGCCATCCTTCGACCCCATCTACTCGGACCCCTCCCATCCTTCGATCCATCTCTGGGACAGTGGCCGCATCACGACGCGCCTGCCGCAGCACGGCTGCGGCGGCGGATCTGCCAGGGCCACACCGGGTCCATCCGGGTGTTGTCGGCAGACCTGCACCGCGGCCGCGCGGCGAGCGGCTCCATGGACCGCCCGGGGCTTCCCTCAAGTCGAAGAAGAAAAAACACCGCAACCATAAACTTTAAGCGCTCCGCGCGGATTTCTTGAATCTGCGCTGGGCCCCCTCGGCGGCGCCTCCGCGCCGTCCCTGGCGCGCTCCGAGCGCCAGGGAGGGGGGGTCCAGCGCAGATCCAAGAAATCCGCGCGGAGCGCCAAAAGTTTACGTTTATGGAGTTTTCTCTTCTTGCCGCCAGTGCCGCCGCCCGGAAGAGATCCGACGCTCCGAGGGAATGGGAGCGGGTGTTTTTTAATTTTAGACCTCGGCAAGTTACTTGTGCATGGCGTTCGCCCCCTCCCCCCCTCGCCCTCCTTCCAACGAGTACCAGCGTGCAAGCGCCTTTGGACCTGCATGTTTTCCGCACTTGCAGATCGTCTGCGGCTTGCGTCAGGTTCAGCCCCCCGATCCATGCCAGTGAATTTTGCCGGAGTCTTACCACAAAACAGTGTCGGACCCTCGGCGGCCGCCGCGGGCCCTCGGCGGGCCTCTCGGGAGCGTCAAGAAAACGGCTCAGGGCGGAACACCGGCCCTGCGGGAAGGTGGCCCATGACCTCTGGACCTCTGGGCGAGGGCGCGGGGGGAGGACGCGGGGACCCGTAACTACCCCCCTCGCGCTGCGACAAAAATGGCGGCGGAGGGCGTTTCCCTGTTCTCGGCCGCCATGCAGGGGCCCTCGCCGTGCCGCGGGCCCTGTCAGAAGATCGGCTCGGGGCGAAAGACTGGTCCCCGGGAAGGGGTCCAGACCTCTGCGGGTCACGCCGCGAAGAAGGATCACGACGTCGGGGCTCTTGGGCCGCCGCCGCCGCCGCTGCTGCTGCTGCTGCCCGTCGTGCCCCTCGGCCCTGCTCCACGCCACCCGAAGCCCTCCTCCTCCTCCTCCTCCTCCTCCTCCTCCTCCTCCTCCTCCTCCTCCTCCTCCTCTCCTCCTCCTCCTCCTCCGCTCCTCCTCCTCCTCCCCCTCCTGCTCCTCCTCCTGCTCCTCCTCCTGCTCGGTGGACGTATAGACGGGGTCGGAGGATCGCGCCTCGCCTCTCGCCGGTGCGTGCGTCGTCGGCTCGACGTGGAGCCCGACCTCCTCCTCGCCGACGTGGGCGGTGCGTCGGCGGTGCGGCGCGCTCCTCCGGCCCCGTCTACTCTCAGGAGGGGGAAAAACACACAGACACAATGAATCGTCGATTCCCAGAAAATATGGGAAAATATGGGAAGTGGGAGGGAAGACAAAACCCCGAACATATGGGAAAATATAAAGAATATTGTTATGTGTGTGTGTATGTATTTGTGTGTCCTGGGCCCCTTCACACTCGGACCCCATTCGGGAGGCCCCCACCCAGTTCCACACCCGAGCGCGGCCACTGCAGCCCAACAGGGGAAAATGGATGAGGGTGTGAGGGCGGACGCTCGGTGTGTCCTAATTAGAAGCTTTCTTTGCTCCCATCGTGCGTAAGGACCCCACCCCAGGAACAATCTCGAGCACCCAGGAGAGTATCGAAACAGTGTCGAACGAGTATCGCCTCCCAGGGCCCGACGCGTGAAAACCCCCAAGCTTCGGCACTTCCTTGGCGCTCGAGATTCTTTCTGGCGATCAGGGCGAAAGTCGGTTGGAACGTCTTGAGTCATAACTATGGCATGCTTCTGCCCACGCTGATTTCCTGGTCATGCCAGGCTGCAGCCGTGCTGCTCGCGAAATGTAGAGCCCTGGCGCGAGCCGGACCGCTCCCGTGCGCTGGGGTCGGCCTTGTTCGGCCGGCCTCGGGTCCGTCGGTCTACGTTGAAGTCGGGCCTGTCCCTCTACAGGAGGGACAGTCCAAAATAGTCAAGAATCAGTCTCGGGACGATTTTTCATTATTTTTATTTGTCGTCCAGAATCCGCCTGCAGGAGGGCGCGCCCGACCTAACGCTACGTCTCGTCCCAAAGTGGTCTCCACATCCTCGGGCTCCTCCCCGAAGGTTGCGAGGTGTGAGAAAGGCGATAGCAGCAGCTGCAGCAGCAGCAGCAGCAGCAGCAGCAGCAGCAGCAGCAGCAGCATCGCGCGATGTAGGCCGTGTCTCGGACGAGCGCCTGGTCCATCACATTCTTGTGGGTGCTTCGGTTGTTAGGGCCGCAGCGTGCTACTCCCCGCATCGTTCCGCTGACTTGAGGCTGCGCTTGTGCCGCTTGATCAATGACAGGCAGCCTGGCTTTCGTAGGGCGATTTCTTGGCGATAGGTCTCCGTCTATAATTGGACTGCTTGTATGCTGCGTTCCAGATCGTGGTGTGTCCAGGCCAATGGGGAGCGCATGTGTTCAATGCTCGGGACTTCTCTGAGGTCTGCACTTGTGGTTCCGCTACTTTGGATTCGTGGAAGTTCCGATTCCACGAGTACCGCTACACCGAAAGGCGTGACAGACTCCTTGCGGTTTTAATGACAATGTTCGTGCAGCTCACGCTGAGCCACCAGGCTATAGTTAGCGTCTTTCTCTCTTTCTCTCGCTCTCTCTCTCTCTCTCTCTTTCTCTTTCTATCCTGAACAGTCATGCGAATGTTGTGACTGTAAGCATTTGGTGGACTATCTCTTCGGGGAGTTGAGAAGTTGGACCTGCTGAGTTTACATGTGTACCTTGTCGGCTTGAGGCTGATTGGATATGTTACCGCTCTCCTTCGGTGTAATAATGTTTGGATGCGAGCGCATTGCAATGCCAGGTGGAGGTTCGAGACACTAGTCGCTCCACATTTAGGTCACACGTTTCTGCTGTGATGACTTGGAGGCGGTTGAGGGCGCGACTCGTTCCGTTACTAGCTGCATAATCAGCACAGCGTTGTTCTCCAGATTGGCTTGCTTATAGGAGTCCTAGCTCCATCCCCAACGAACCTGTTTTGCCCCACATGGTTGCAGTGGTTTCCCCCTATTTTGCCCAAATGCTCGTAATGGCGTCCTCTCCTATTGCAGTGGCTTCCTCTGCTATTGCAATGGCTTCCTCTGCTGGTGCATTGGCATCATCTGCCATTGCAATGGCGTTCCGTGGTTGTTCGATTGGCGTCCCATCTTCGTCCATCAGCCATCAAACTCAGAAGTAGAGTAGAGCAGAGCAGGGTATAGTAGAGAAGAGTAGATGAGTAACGTAGTGCCGAGTAGAGGAGTGCAGAGTAGAGCAGGGGAGATTAGAGCAGCGTAGAGCAGGAGTATCGTACAGTAGAGTAGGTTTGGGCAGGGTAGGGGAGAGTAGAGTATGATAGGGTACTGCAGCGTAGCGTAGAGGAGGGTAACTGCCCCTCACGAAGAGACGCCAGCTGCAGGCCTCCCGAGCGAAGTGAACCCCAGCCTCCCCCTCAGAAGTCGTGGGGGGTTAGGCGTAGGGTTCGCATGCGGCCCCTATCTCGGGAGCCCCCTCCTCGAGGCACCCGGCCTCGACGGCGGGCCCCTCGTCGGACCTGCCGCCGCCGGCTGCGGCGCCGCTTGGAGACTTCCGGCGCGGCCGGGGGTCGCGAGGGGAGGGGCCGCCCGCCCGCGGAGGCGCGTCGCCGAGCGGGGCGCCGCGCACCCCGTCGGGGGTCGCTCCGCGGGCCGATGGCGAGGAGGACGGCCAGGCTGCGCACGAGCCCCTGCTCGTCAAGCAGTGGCGAAGCGTCCTGGCTGGCCTAGTAGTTAGGGGAACAACAAGTGGCATGAACATAAGAACTCGGAGGTCCGCGCGGATTTCTCGGATCGGTGCTGGGGCCCCCCGGCGGTGCCTCCGGCGCCGCCCCTGGCGCGCTCCGCGCGCCAGGGAGGGGGGTCCAGCGCCGATCCGAGAAATCCGCGCGGACCTCCGAGTTTTTATGTTTATGCCACTTTTCCCTACCTAGGCTCTGCCTAGAAGGGTTCTTACTTTATCAGCTTAAAGGGGCCAGGCAGTGTTCCCCGCCCCGGGCGGTTCCCCCAGGATCCGCCCCGCGGTTCCCCCAGTGACGTTCCCTTAGCTTCGCGTTGCTTATCTCATCTTAGCTTAGCTTATTTCATCTTAGCTTAGCTTAGCTTCATCTTAGCTCAGTTTTATTCCCTACCTAGGCTCTGCCTAGAGGGTTCTTACTCTATTAGCTTAAAGGGGCCCGGCAGTGTTCCTCGCCCCGGGCGGTTCCCCCGGTCCCCGCCCCGCGGTTCCCCCAGTTGCGCCCCATTACCTTAGCTTTGCGTATCTCATCTTAGCTTAGCTCAGCCTAGCCTAGCTTATCCTAGCTTTGCTTATCTTAGCTTAGCCTAGCCTAGCTTAACTTAGCTTAGCTTAGCTCAGCTTAGCTTAGCGTAGCGCAGCATTAGCATATCATAGCATAACATAGCATAGCATAGCATTGCATTGCGCAGCATAGCATAGCGCAGCATAGCATAGCATAGCATAGCAAATCATAGCGCAGCATATCATAGCCTAGCATAGCTTAGCGCAGCACAGCACAGCGCACCTTTCATAGCATAGCATAGCATACCATAGCATAGCATATCGTCGCATAACATAGCATAGCATAGCGCAGCATAGCGTAGCATATCATAGCATAGCGCAGCATAGCTTAGCATAGCATAGCATAGCATAGCGCAGCATAGCATAGCATAGCATAGCGTAGCGCAGCACAGCATGTGAGTCTCGCTGTTGATGTTGATGTAGATGTAGATGCAGGTGTAGATGATAATGTAGCTGTCGGTGTAGATGTAGATGATGCTTTCCTAGATGCTCCAACTCCTAGGTAGGGACGCACAGGAACAATTTGTTCCCATATATTCGTGACCGTTCTTTAACTCATTGTTTTTCCGATCGGCGCGGGCCCTCCCCCCCCATGGAGTAGATCTTGGCTTTTTGGGGGGCGCCTGTTTCGAGCAGGCGGGGTCCCTCCCCCGTAGGACGCACGGTTCCAAACAGCCGCATTATGCAGATATCCGGGCCCCCCCCCCCCTCCCTCCCCCCCTTCTGCCTAATGTCGAAACGCCGAATAAAAAGAAACACGTTCAAACAGGCCCACCAAAGAATGTTCGTAAAACTTTTGGTGGTCTGCACGAAATGTGCTTAGAGCAGTTCTGGCCAGGCTGTCCTGTTCTAACACGTCGGGCTTATGTTATACGAACAGTGTCTTCGTTCTTCGAGCGTTCTTGGGTTCTAAACATCATGTCGTGGTAGGCCTACAGGAATGCCGGGACGGTCGGTCCCTGCTCGATGCTCCGCCAGCTGCCGCTGATGCTCTGAAGAACAAACATCGGACAGAGGAAACACGCCATACATACATACATATATATATATATATACAAAAAACAAAAAATGTTGGCGCTCCGCGCGGATCTTTTGGATCCGCGCTGGGCCTCCCCTGCTGGAGCCAGAGCCAACGCTGCTCGAAGAGGAAGAACACGCCATGGAAGACACACAAACGCTTGGCGCTCCCCGCGGATCTCTCGTGGATCCGCGCTTGGCCTCCCTTGCTTCGGAGGGCACCAACTATACACCTACACCGATCTTGGCCAGGCCAATTCTGCGCCCAGGATTGTTGTATATGCCTTCCTGCCCCAGGCAGGAGGGCGTATACACCGATCCTGGGCCCAGGGTGGGCCTGGCCAGGATCGGTGTTGGTGTATAGCTGGCGCCCTCCTATTGCTGCAGCCAGGGCAAACTTTGCTCGAAGAGGAAAAGCGCCGTCAGCATACATGTTTGGCGCTCCGCGCGGATCTCTCGGATCCGCGCCGGGGCCCCCCGCGGCGGCGCCCCCTGACGCGCTTCAGCGCAGATCCGAGAAATCCCCGCGGAGCGCCAAAAGTTTAGGATTACAGTGGAGGCCAGTCCACAAGAGACCTTCCACAAGAAACCCTACCCTGAGACCTCAGGACGTCCATTGATTGTTGGTGTGGGGGCGTCACGCTTTCCATCGCAAAACCATCGAAAACCAAGAAACCCGGGGCACCCTGGAGGTAAGCAGCGTGTTGCTTGGCATGGGTCGCACCTGTATGCCGTTTTCTGCTCCTCTGGCACCGATTTTGGCCAGGCCCATCCTGGGCCCAGGATGAGCCCGGCCCAAATCGGTGCATGTGCACAGGTCCCCTTCCTCTATCTAGGTTTTTGGCTCCTCTGAACGTGGCGCCATCGGCCCAGGCGTCGTCCTGCGGAGGCCCCCGTCCGTGCCCCCGCCCTCTCCCCTGCTCCTCGGCGGTCGCGGCGGCGGCGGCTCCCAGCGTGCCGGCGACGGCCGCGGCGGCGCTGCCGCCGCAGCGCGCGGGGTCTAGAGTAGCCTAGAGTGGAGTAGAGTAGAGTGGAGTAGAGTGGAGTAGAGTATAGTGGAGTAAGGTAGAGTAGAGTAGAGCAGAGCAGACTAGAGCACGTAGGCTCGGGCATGGTCGCGTATTGTCAAGGTCGAGTGCGGTAGGGTAGGTCGGGTAGGTTTGGGTGGAGCCGAGGAGGCAGCATGGTAGAGAAGAGTTGTGTAGACCAGAGTAAACCAGACTGGCTTGGTGTAGATCAGATTAGCGTAGAGAAGAATATTTGTATAATAGACCAGATCCTACTGGGAGCAGGGTGACATCAAACATGGTAGAGTAGACTAGGCCAGAGAAGACTCAAGGAGAGTAGGGTATAGCAAAGTAGAGTAGGAGTAGGGTATAATATAATAGGAGTAGAGTAGAGCAGAGCTGATTAGAGACAGTAGGCAAGGCTAAGGTAGGGTCTGGTAATGTAGAGAAGAGTAGCGTAGCGTAGACCACATTAGAGTAGCGCAAGGTGGATGGTAGAGTAGAGCCGGGCATAATCGAGTACATCCGAATAAAGAGTAAAGTGGGACAGGGCAGAGTAGAACAGAGCAGAGCAGATGATATTACAGTAGAGCAGGGTGGAAGTATAGGTAGAGGTAGAGTAGGGCATAGTACAGCAGGGGCAGAGTAGAGTAGGATAGGGTAGCGACTGATAGAGTACAGTAGGGTAGAGTAGATCAGATAGCAGAGTGGGGTAGATGGTAGAATAACTAGAGTCAGGTAGGATCCTGCTCCTGATCCTGCTGCTGGTTCTTATTTTTTCTGGCCGAGCCTGGGCCGCCTTTCCCGCTCGCCGCGCCTGCGCGGTGACCGCCGGCTGCGGGCCGGGACGCCTTATGCCTCGACACCCCCGTTTATTTCGCCTCCCTCGTTCCTTTCTTCTTCTTCTTTTTCTTCTTCTTCGTCTTCTTATTTTTCTTCTTATTGCACTGCTGATTCGTCTTGTTCTTCTTGCTGTCATTACGTGTTTACTTCCAGTTACTCCCCTTGTCCTGCCCCGGCCACCTGAGCCTCTCCTCGCGTCCCTCCCCGCCCCCGCGGGGGAAAACTCTCGCCTCCCCTCCTCTCCTCCCCCTTTGGTGGTCGTCGTCGTCGTTAGAGGCGCCGTCGTCGTTGTCGTCGTCCGTCGTCCGTCGTGGTCACCGCGGTCGTGGTCACCGTCGTCGTGGTCACCGTCGTCGTCGGCGTCGTCCTCGTCGTCGTCGCCGTCGTGGTCACCGTCGTCGTCCTCGTCGTCGGCGTCGCCCCTCGCCGTTCGCGCCCGCGCCTCGCTCCCGCGGGCGCCCGCCCCTGCCCGCGCGCCCCCCCGGCGGGCGCCGCCCCACCCCCGCAGGACGAGACCGTTCGCATCTGGAGCCTGCAGGCGCCCCCTCCTCCTCCTCCTCCTCCTCTTCCTCCTCCTCCTCCTCCTCCTCCCTCCCTCCCTCCCTCCCTCCCTCCCTCCCTCCCTGCCTCCCTCCCTGCCTCCCTCCTCCTCCTCCTCCTCCTCCTCCTCCTCCTCCTCCTCCTCCTCCTCCTCCTCCTCCTCCTCCTCCTCCTCCTCCTCCTCCTCCTCCCCCTCTATGTATGTTCCTCCTGTGGGTGTCTGTAGTAGTCTCATGGTAAGAACTCCGGCTGAAGAGTGTGGCCATCAGACGGCTAAGCGAGAGCAGAATCTGAGACGAATTGCACGGGGCATGTGGCCCCATCCCAAGGGCATGCCCAAGAAAGTACAGGAGGCCCTGCACTGGCGGGATGCCAACCGAGCCATTGCTAGAGCTAATGCGCACGTGCATGCGTGAGTGTGTGTGTAGCTACTAGCAGTCCACATGGTACGATTGCGTACTCTTCATGCCGATCTCCTGCCGATCTCCTCTTTCTCCTCCCCCTCTGCCTGTGCATGTGAATCCGTGTGCATGCGTGGACACTTGGGCTGTGGGCAGCAGGAAGATAAGTGAAGTATTTGTTTGTTGACCTTACCTTCGCGTGGCGATTTGCGAAAGGCCAGCTGTACTAACCATCTACTAGCACAAAACGCGGGCGATTTCCCAGTGCGTTGCCAATGCCAGCGCGGAAGGAGGTGGGAGGAGGGAGATGAGACGGAGGAGAAGTTGAGGAGCAGGCGGGTGGATTAACGTGGAGCAGAGGCATCGAGGGAGGAGGGAGCAGGGGGAATAGTAGGAGCAGGGGGACCACACTATTGCCTGAAACCTTATGTTGGTCCTTCTTGCGGAATCCTCCAGCTTTTTACGATTTCGCGACTTCTGATACTAATCGTGGTTTTGCAAGTAGTCATTTTATTAGTGATTCGTGGTCGTGGTACCAATGTATAGTTGCTACACTCTTCCGACAGGAAAGCTCAGTGAAACTCGCGTAAAATCAGTGGGGTGGCGCTTGCCTTTGTGAACGCATAGGCGGAGTGCTTGCTCACGTTAGGCGGAACCCAAGAATTCTCCCCGGTAGAGCTAAGCCGAACTCGTTCGTGCCAGAAGCGTAAGGAGGAAAAGGGGGTCTATGTCAGTGCTGCCGCAGTGGCCAGGAGCATGACTTTCGCAGGGTTGGGCGAAGTAATATTACGACCGCCGCTGCTGTTGCTACTGCTCCTTCGACTCACTGTAGCGTCATCCCCCTCGGAGGGGGGCCCTCCTGCTCTTTCTCGTGTTTGCTCTCCTCGACTCTCCTGGTGCTGCTTCTTCGTTGTTGCTTTTTATCCCTTTCTCTATGTTCTCCCCCCCCTCTCTCTGTATATGCATCTGTGTCTGTATGTGAAGTGTCCTCTCCCCCTTCACTCTTCTTGTTGTTGTCGCTGTCGTTGTCATTGTTGTTGCTGTTGTCGTTGTTGGTCATGTCGTTGTCGTTGTCGTTGTCGCTGCCGTCGTTGAACTTCCACTATTCAAGAATAAGTATTGTTGATCCCTCTCTCCGGTGACCATTGTGCTTTTTCCATTGAAGTGATTCCCCCGGGGCTCGCATCCTGTTTTGTCCGGGAAAGTCACGGGGCTCACACTGCTTTGTTTGCCGCCGGATTACAACAACAACGGCTCCCGCCGAATATGTCCTTACAATGTATTGTAGTGGCCTTCGGCCAGTGCCGTCGATCCGGGGTGCTCGGACTGATGTGATCATCCTTCGCCCTCGTCCCTCCTCTCTTTTCCCTTCCTTCCCCCTCTCAGTCCGCATTTATCGAAGACGCCTACGGCGAATCACCGCCGCCCCCTGCCTTTTTGGAAGCGCCTATGTGGCCGAACGTTGAGGCCAGACCTGCCAAGCTATCGGACCACGTGTTCCCCGAATCGGTTTGGAAAGCCTTCGGGGAACACGTGGGCATCTTGAAGGTCATCTTGGCCGTCTTGGAGGCCTCTTGGGCAAGCTTTGGGCGATCTTTGGGGCTTTTTGGGCCGTCTCGGGCCAGCTTCGAGCCAACTTCGGCCATCTTGGTGGGTTCCTGGCACGTCTGAAGCCGTCGGAAGCCGTTTGGGGGGCCTCTATGGGCCGACTTGGGGCCCGCTTGGAATGCTCCAGGGCCGTCTTGGAGGCCATCTTGGGCGTCTGGGAGGCCATCTTGGGCGTGTTGGAGGCCTCTTGGGCCCTCTTGGGGCCCTCTAGGGGCCATCTTGGAGGCCACTTGGGCCATCATGGGGCTCTCTTGGGGGCCTCTTGGGCGATCTTGGGGGCTTCTTGGGCCGTCTCGAGCCGTCGGAGAGCCGAAAAGGCGCAAATGCCAGAAATCCTTCAAAAACCAAGGAAAAATCAATGATTTTGGCCTCTTCGGACTCTCCTGGAGGACCTCTTGGAGGCCTCTTGGGCCGTCTGGGAGGCCTCTGGGGGGCCTCTTGGGCCGTCTTGGGCCGTCTTGGACTCTCTTGGGCCGTTTTGGAGGCCGTCTTGGACCATCTCGGGCGGACTTGGAGGCCATCTTGGGCCATCTTCGCGATTTTTTGAGGATGTCCCGAGCGAAACGGCCGTTTTTTGGAGGATTTGTTCCGGTCGTTGGCACCTTCCGGGTGGCCGGCGGGTTCTGCCGGAGCCCACTGGGGAGTTCTTTTGGAAAAAGAACCAAAACCAAAACCTGACAGCTCGTCCAGCACGCCGTGCACCCCTGCAAGCAGGGGGCGGCGGATCCATTGGCCTTCGGCCTATCCCGCCACCGTGCGTGGGTGGTGGGTCAGAGGCCTCATGGACGCTGGTTGTGATCTCGTGGTTGGCTGGGACCTCTGGGGGCCTCTTGGGGGCCTCTTGGGGCTTCTTGGGGGCCTCTTGGGCCTCTTGGGGCCACTAGAGGGCCTCTTGGGGGTCTCTTGGGAGCCTCTTGGGGCTTCTTGGGGGCCTCTTCTGCGCCCCTTGGGGCCTCTTGGAGGCCTCCTCGGAGCCTCTTGGTGCGGGAGGGGTGGTACTCGAGTTCGGAACCCCCTCGGAGGCCACGATCCTTGTGAGGGGTGTCAAAAAACGCATCCGCCGGAAACTCGCACCCCCCCCCCCCACCCCCCCTTCCCCGGCAGAGCCACCCGGGCAACCCCCCCAGAGGCTGAGGCTCAGCCTCGAGGCTGTAGCTGAGACTCCTTGAAACTCACACGCCGGATCGGCGGATTTCCCAATCTCGCTCTCGCGCGGGACTTACTCACAATTCATGTACGCATCGCGCTCTCGCGTGGGACTTCCTCGCAATTTATCCAGACGATGCGCCCTCGGCGCTCCGGAATAAGGCTCTCGCTTCGGCTTTTCTCACGATTTACTTGGGAATCGCGCTATCGCTCGAGACTCCCTCGCGATTCATGCAGGACCTACGCTTCAGCGACCCGCTTGCTCGACCTGGTCGCCTGGGCCCGCCTTCCGACCTGCCCGCTATGGGTCTGCCCACCCGATCTGCCCGTTTGGTTCTACCATGTGTTTTCTGTTTTTCTGCTCCTTGCCTCCCTCCTGCTAATTTCTCTCGTGCTCCATTTTTCTCCCTCCCCCTTCCACCTGTCCTCTCTTCCCTTGTTTTAGGGGCTGCACTAAATGCACCTGGCAGGTAAGGAAGATATACCCCCAAGGGGGTACGATCGAAGACGACGAGGGCGGCTACCGAGGGTTTTGGATTTTCGTATTGGTTGGCACTTGAGCAGATAGGAGCGAACAGTCTTAAACTGAGTGTTGCTGTTGCTGTCGTTGTTGCTGTTGGTGTGGTTGCTGTTGGTGTTGTTGTTATTGGTGATGTTGTTGTTGGTGTTGCTTGTGTTGTTGTTGTTGGTATGATGTGATGTTGTTGTTGTTGTTGTTGTTGTTGTTGTTGTTGTTTTTGTTGTTGTTGTGGCTGTTGCTGTTGCTGTTGCTGTTGTTGTTGTTGTTGTTGTTGTTGAACATTATTTATTCTAAAGAATAATTATTGTTGGGCCCCCTGGTGCACGCCCCCCCTGCGCCGCCTAGGCCGCAGCTACATTTTCATCATTTTCGTGAGGAAGCCTCAGGTAAAACGATGTGATCCAGATCCGGTTGTTTTGTTGTAATCCGTTTTCCCTTGCAAAAAACACTATAAAATGACATTTCTTGTTCTAATATAATCAAATTTCAAGAATCCCTTGCAAAAAATAAGGTAAAGTGGACATTCGCGCGCGCAAGACGAAATCCTTCCAAAAGCTTAGTGTTCGGAGCGATTTTAACATAAAAACATCAAAAAACCAATGGTTTTTCAACAAAAAAATGTCAAAATCTCATCCCGCGCGCTCTTGCGGATTCGTAGGAAACCCAACACTTTTTAAACATTTCTGTCAAACGGGCTTTTGCGAGCAACTTTTTCGAACTTCTGCGACAACGGTTGCGCACCTGCCAGGGCCATCATCCCTGTCAAATAATACCATGCGGGACACATTCGTTTTTTCTTCGCGCGCGCACGCCGTCGTCGTCGGCCGCGGGGCCCTGAATAGTAGCCACGGTCGTCCGCATGCCACGAAGTGAAGTGTCCGAACGTCATAGGGCGGGAAGCTGGGTGTGGGTGGTGGCGAAGAGTCGTTTGGAAATTTGGTAGAGCTTGAACCGGCCCCCCCACAAAGTGGGGGTATTGCCCGCCTCCTATGAAAACCCTGGCACTGGTGAGAACGGAGTGTCCCCACGTGCTAGTAATTGTTGTTGTTGTTGTTGTTGTTGTTGTTGTTGTTGTTGTTGTTGTTGTTGTTGTTGTTGTTGTTGTTGTTGTTGTTGTTGTTACTGTTGCTGTTGCTGTTGCTGTTGCTGTTGTTGTTGTGTCTCTCTCTACACCTGTGCATATATGTGTATAGATTAATGTGTCTGCTTGTTTGGACTGGTTGCATGTGTGTGTGTGTTTGTGTGTGTGTGTGTTCCGCGTCCCTCTCTCTCTGTGTCTCTCTCTCTCTCTCTGTCTTTTTCCCTCTCTCACTCCCTCTCTCTGGTTCCCCGCTTGCTTATCCAGCCGTGTTTGCATGCCGCACGTCGCAGCGGTCGGAAGGCTAACCCCGTCGGCTTCAACTCGAGCGCCGAGCCTGGCGAGTGCCTCGGAACGCTCGCGCTGCCCGCAGGCCGCGGGTCGCCGCAGGCGCCACCGCCGCCGAGGAGGCGGAGGAGAAGGAGGATCCGGCGATTGGATCCGACTGAGAGGACCAAACTGCAGAGGTGGGGCGATGGGCGAGGGGGAAGGAGGAGGGCGGCGCCACTGCGGCACTGCCACTGCCACTGCGGCACGACCACAGCACCAGCGACCGACTCCTTGGGCGGCATCCTGTGGCCGCCTGCCGCTGCTGCCGAGGGGAGCCTGCAGCTGGCCGCCTCACGGAAACACCAGCTCTCGGCTCTGGCGGGGGGGGGGGAGGGTTTCTCCGAAGGGCTTAGGCGACCCGTCCTCCTCCTCCTCCTCCTCCTCCTCCTCCTCCTCCTCCTCCTCCTCCTCCTGTTCCTCCTCCTCCTCCTCCTCCTCCTCCTGTTCCTCCTCCTCCTCCTCCTCCTCCTCCTCCTCCTCCTCCTCCTCCTCCTCCTCCTCCTCCTCCTCCTCCCTCCCCTCCCCCTCCTCCTCCCCCTCCTCCTCCTCCTCCTTCTCCTCCTCCTCCTCCTCCTCCTCCTCCTCCTCCTCCTCCTCCTCTTCGGGTCGCCTACGGCCCCTGGGGAAACCGTGCAGGGGGGGGGGGGGGGGGACACGCCCACAGAAACACTTCTCTCGGCACCGCTCGGACGTGTGCACGCTTCTCGGCGAGGCCAGCGCCAGAAGCACTGAGTCATCCGGGGAGCATCGTGGAGCCTCTTGCCAGAAGAAAAACTGCACCGTCTGGGAGCCTCGTGGATCATCTTGCGAGACAAAACTGAGTCCTCTGGGAGCATCGTGGATCATCTGGCGAGAAAAATGACACCAGAGAAAAACCCTAATCAGTGGATGGTTTCAAATGGGATCGATCAGGGGATCGATGAGGAGATCGACCGGGAAACCAGGAACCCAGAACCCACCGAAATCGGCCTGAAACCAATAACCAGGAACCCCGGAACCGGGAACCTTGGAACCCGGGAATCCAGCCGGCCACTAAATATCGGCGGGACACTTTCGCCAAATCTGTCGATCTCCGCTAGGACCCCTTCAGTGCAAGCACTGATTGGGGCAAAAGCGAGAAGAAAAGCCTGGACCGGTACGACACCGAGAAACATGCACAGGTCGGGGGCGGCGAAGAGGGGGGTGACGACTAGGGGGGGGGATGTCATGGCGGGGGCCATGATAGTTCCCCAGGTCTCATGGCGCCTCTTCTTATGTCATCACGTCCCTGGCCCCCCCGCTGGGCCGCGCACGTGCCGCCAGTCATGATTTGCCCCCCCCCCTCTTGGACACCCCCCTCGTTGGCCGCTCCCGCACAGGGACTGTCAGGAGGGAAAGAAACACAGACACAATTAATCGTCGAGTCCTAGAAAAATATGGGGAAATATAGGAATTGGGCGGGAAGACAAAACCCTAGAAAATATGCGAAAATATGGGGAATCATTTTATTTGTGTGTATTTATTTGTGTGTCCCAGGGCCCCTTCAGACGGGGCGTCCGGGCGGCGGCAGGGAGAGCAGGAGGCGGCGAGCGGGGAGGCGAGGCGCGAGGGCCGCGGGCGCGCCCCCGGCGGGTCAGAGGAGCGGCGCGCAGCGCTGCACCGAAGACGGGCACGTCCCCCTACAGGAGGAGCATTCTCGGGGAATCGTAAGACTCGAGTAAGCCGGGACTCGGGTTTGCCGAGGTTTTTTGACGAGCGCGTCCTGGACTTTGACGGTCCACTTTGCGTGGGATGTCTGCAGCGGGAGCCCGCGTCAAGTTTCAGATTGGGTCTCGTCATTTTTATGACGGCCCCCGTCAGGCCAACCCGAGTCCCCCGTACCCGAGTCTTACGTCTCCCCGGTATTCAAAAACAGTCAAACACCTGTCTGGGGACGCTGAAACAAAACATTTTACTAACACAAAAATATAAGAACAATATGTTTGAATATGTTTAGATTTGTTTTCACTTCATTTTTTATTTGTCGTCCAAGGTCCGCCTGTAGGGGGACATGCCCGACCCAACACTACACCTAAGACGGGCACGTCCCTCTACAGGAGGATAATTCAAACATAGGCAAGCAACACTCTGGGAGCGACTTTTCGAATAGTTGGTTGTGGCTATGTTTAGGGCATGGTTTGAATATTTTTGAGTTGTCCTCCAAAGTCCGCCTGTAGGAGGACATGCCCGACCTGACACTACACCTATCTCCGCACTCATCTCTGCACACACGCACATACGTAATCTTTTCGGCGTCGCGGGACGTAGAACGTTGAGTGCAGGCAGTGGAGCGCGCGCGTCCACGCCCAGCCGAGCTCTCAACACTTTTTGCGTCGGCGGCTAGGCAGAGTGACTGCGCTGGCGGATAGGGGATGTGTAGGGCATGCAGATGCGAATTGAGCCGCAGTGCAAGAGAGAGGAGGAGGAAGCCCGCCACGGGCAGGAGCTCTCAACGCACACACACACATGCACACGCACACGCACTCACATACACACACACACACACACACGCACACACACACACACACACACCCGCACACACACACACACACACACACACACACACGCACACACACACAAACACACACACACAAACACACACATACACACACGCCGCACGCACGCACACACATAAAAGCACACACATAAAAGCACACACACACACGCGCACAGGGACCAAAGAGTCCTTGCGCGAAGCATTTGTCGATGCGGGCTCGTGTGCAGCTGTCTGGTCTTGATGAGGGGGATGGGGTCGCCTGCATCCCAGCCTCTGGAAGTGGCCAGCCTCGAGCGCGAGACTGACTGCACTTCTGGAGGAGGAGGAGGAGAAGGAGGAGGAGGAGGCTGAGCCTCCGCCCAGGGAAACGGGCAAGACTTACGTCAGGTCTGTCCCCCTGCAGGAGGAGTATTCAAACCCATCCTAAGCATAGTCGGGGGACGATGTTTCTCATTCCTTCTTGGTTATGTCTGAATATCTTTGGGGGTATGTTTTATTTCTCTTCCGCAAAGAGCCCCCTGAAGGAGGACATGCCCGCACCATCCCCTGGAAACAACGGTGGCACCCACCATGGAAACGGGGAGCCCCACCCAGGGAGACGCCGCGGGCGCCAGTTGTGGAAGCGAGGACGCGGGGGAGAAACAGGAGGAGGAGGAGGAGGATAATAACGCTTATACGAGGAGAATGTGGGAGGGGGGGGTGCGAAGAGAAGTGCGATGCAGAGGATTTGGCAAGTGAGCCGCTCGGCGAGCAGTATCTGGTTGTAGTTGTTTGCCCCTGGGCGTTGCCAAGTGACGGGTCGAGCACAGTGTGCTAGTCGTTTGCGCCACAATGCGTAGGCACGTGACGAGTACGATGTAATGGTATGGTTCCGCCGCCTTGAGTTGCCGCGCGGCGAATCTACCAGATCGGAGGTTGGGGGGTGAGATCGCAGTGGGTCCCCAACCGGGACATCGTTTCGTTTCGTTCGTGTCGTGCGCGCGGGCGAGGCGAAGCTGCGTGGGCGCGCGAGAGGAATGACCCCGCCGTTGCTAGGGCGAAGTCAAGACAAATGTTTCTCCTCCGTCCGTCCGTCCGTCCGTCCGTCCGGCGGTGGCCCTAGCGCTGTCCCGCGGTGTCCCGTGGTGTCCGCCGTTGCTAGGGCGAAGTCAAGGCAAATGTTTCTCGTCCGTCCGTCCGTCCGTCCGTCTGGCCGTGTCCCGCGGTATCCCGCGGTGTCCCGTGGTGTCCCGTGGTGTCCGCCGTTGCTAGGGCGAAGTTTAGACAAATGTTTCGCTCCCGTCCGTCCGTCCGGCGGTGGCTCGCGATGTCCCGCGGCGTCCCGTGGTGTCCCGTGGTGTCCCGTGGTGTCCGCCGTTGCTAGGGCGAAGTCAAGGCAAATGTTTCTCGTCCGTCCGTCCGTCCGTCCGTCCGTCTGGCGGTGCCCCGCGGTATCCCGCGGTGTCCCGTGGTGCCCCGTGGTGTCCGCCGTTGCTAGGGCGAAGTCAAGACAAATGTTTCGCTCCCGTCCGTCCGTCCGGCGGTGGCTCGCGATGTCCCGCGGTGTCCCGTGGTGTCCCGTGGTGTCCCGTGGTGTCCGCCGTTGCTAGGGCGAAGTCTAGACACATGATTCTCCCCCGCCCGCCCGTCCGTCCGTCCGTCTGGCGGTGGCTCGCGGTGTCCCGCGGTGTCCCGTGGTGTCCCGTGGTGTCCCGTGGTGTCCCGTTGAGTGAGATTGATAGTGAGATCGATAGTGAGACCGATAGTGAGATCGAAAGGTGTCCCGCGGTGTCCCGTGGTGTCCAGTGGTGGCCCGTGGTGTCCCGTTGTGTTCCGTTGAGTGAGATCGATAGTGAGATCGACAAGTGTCCCGTGGTGTCCCGTGGTGTCCCGTTGAGTGAGATCGATAGTGAGATCGTTTGGGTCGGATGTTGGTTTCCCCCCTCTCCCCCCCCACAACCTCCTTATCACCTGAAGGGTGGTCGTATAGGTTATGCTGGTTCCTCCCCCAGGCGTTGCTACGTGACGGGCAGGGTCGATTATCGAAGACGCCTACATCGAATCACCGCCGCCCCCTGCCTCTTGGAATCGCCCATGTGGCTGAGTGTTGTGGCAAGAGCTCTGCCAAGCGATCGGAACATGTGTTCCCCCAGCCGCTGTGGAAACCGTTCGGGGACCACTTGGGGGAGTCTGGCGGGGAAGATCAGGAGGAGGATGAGGAGGAGGAGGAGGAGAAGGAGGAGGAGGAGGAGGAGAGGAAATCTTGGGAGCCTCTGGGGGCTGGGGCCTCCTGGGAGCTTCCTGGGAGCCTCTTGGAGGCATCTTAGCGGCCTCCCTGGGCCTGTTTGGTGCCTTTGTGGGCTTCTCGGGGGCCTCTTTGGCCGTTATGGGGCTTTCCTGGCCCGTCTGACGCCGTCAGTAGCCGTCTTGGGGGCCTCCCTAGGCCGCTTTGCGGCCCTCTTGGGGTGCTCCAGGGCCGTCTTGGAGGCCATCTTCGGCGTCATGGAGGCTTCTTGGGCCGTCTTAGGGCCCTCTTGGGGTCGTCTTAGGGGCCTCTTGGGCCGTTCTGGGGCCATCGTGGAGGCCTCTGTGGGCCATCTTGAGGCGATCTTTTTGTACTCTTGGGCCGTCTCGGGCCTTCGGAACATCCTTCAACAACCTGCGGAAAATCAAGGATTTGGTTTCTTCGGGCCTTCCTGGAGGTCCTCCTGGTTGCATCTTGGGCCGTCTTGCAGACCAGTTGGGGGCCTCTTGGGCCATCTTAGACCATCTTAGAGCTATCTTGGGCCGTCTTGGTGGGCTCCTGGCCCCTCTGACGCAGTCGGAAGCTGTCTTGGGGGCCTCTCTGGGCCGCCTTGGGGCCCTCTTGGGGTGCTGCAGGGCCGTCTTGGAGGCCGTCTTCGGCGTCTTGGAGGCCTCTTGGGCCGTCTTGGGGCCCTCTGGGGGCCGTCTTGGGGGCCTCTTGGGCTGTTCTGGGGCCATCGTGGAGGCCTCTGTGGGCGATCTTGGGGCGATATTTGGCGTATCGTGGGCCGTCTCGGGCCGTCGGAAGGACGAAAGGAAGCAACTGCCAAAATTCTTCAACAACCTGCGGAAATCAATGAAGTTGGCCTCTTCGGGCCTTCCTGGAGGCCTTCTTGGAGGACTCTTGTGCCATCTTGAGGCCATATTGGGCCGTCTTGGAGGCTTCTTGGGCGAACTTACAGGCATCTTAGACTCTCTTGAGCCGTCTTCGAGGCCATCTTGGACCATCTTGGGCCATCCTGGAGGCCATCTTGGGCCATCGTAACCATCTTAGACGCCATCTTGAGCCGTCTTGGAACATCTTTTCCTGACATTGAGGTCGTTTCCGGGCCTTCCGCGGGGCCGGCCGGCGCGCTGGGCCGAAGCCCCGGGGAGAGTTCTTTGGGAAAAGAACCAAAACGAAAGACCGTTGGATCCAGGCATCCCTGTGGCAAGCTAACAGGGGGCGGCGGATGACGGAAAGCGCGCGTAGCGTGCGATCTTTTAGTCGTAAGAAGTTCGAGGGGGGGTGGCATCTGCACGGGCAGGGACGACGGAAAGAGCGTTCACGCGGTTCCGTTCTTGGTAGGGCGTCGGCCCAAGGGGGGGGGGTCCAGGGGGGGGGGCGGCCGGTCGAAAAGTCTGAGAGCCTCTGCGGGGGCCCAAAACGGTCCCCTATACCAGTAAGACGGCCCAAGACGGCCCCAGAGCGCTCCAAGACGGCCTCAGTTCGCTCCACGACGGTCCAAGAAACCCTCGAGACGCCCTAAGATGGCTCAAAGGCGGTCAAAGAGGCCCCAAAGACGCTCCAAGTAGCCTCAAGGAGGCTTTCCAAGAGAGCCCGAGGAGATAAAATTCTATTGTTTTTTTGTGTTTGTGTCAGTTTGGGGGGTTTTCGTTTTTTCTGGCCTAGAACAGCCGAAAGCAGCCTCAGAGGCTCCAAATATCGCCCCAAGACGGCCGAAGAGGTCCCCGGAAGGGTCCGAAAGTTGCTAAAGAGGGCCCCAAGACTGGCCAAGAGGGCTCCCAAACGGCCCGACAGGGTCCACAGACGGCCCCAAGAGAGCCCCAAGAGAGCCCCAGGAGGCTCCTAAGAGGCCTCCAAGAGAGCCCCAAGACGGCCACAGGCCTCGAAGAGGCCCCAAGACGTGCCAAAAGGTCCCAAGACGGCTCAAGAGGGCTCCAAGACAGTCCAAAAGAGCCCCTAATAGGACGCCAAAAAAAAACAGTGATTGGTAACGTCGAAAGCTGTCCACGCCAAGGCTCCCAACGGCGAAAGCGGGGAGAGACGGACTTATCCCGATACCATTAAGACGGCCCAAGAGGGCTCTCTCTTGGCGGACTCTAGGGGCTCTCTTGGCGGCCTTTAGGGGCTCTCTTGGGAGGCTCGTGGTGCTCTCTTGGGCCTCACTTAGTGTCGTCTTGGGCCCCTCTCGGGCCGTCTCGGGGCCCTCTTGGCCAGCCCCCAAAAGGCCTCCAAGAGGTCCACTCCCAAGAGGCTGAGGCGAAAGGGGGGGGGGGAAAGGGAGGATGGATGGGGAATGAGGCAGAGGGCGAGAAGGAGGAGGAGGAGGAGGAGGAGGAGGAGGAGGAGGAGGAGGAGGGAGAGGAGGAGAGGAGGAGGAGGAGGAGGAGGAGGAGGAGGGGGATGGAGGAGGAGGAGGAGGCGAGGAGGAGGAGGAGGAGGAGGAGGAGGAGGAGGAGGAGGAGGAGGAGGAGGAGGAGGAGGAGGAGGAGCGTGCCGCCCCCCCCGCGCAGCACAGGAGCTGCTCGCGTGCTTCGCCTCCGGCCAGGCGGCGGCCGTCTCGCGGTCGGGCGACCTGCTCCTGTGGGCCCCGACCGCCTCGCGATGCCGCTGCTGCCCCGGCCCTGCGCCAGTGCAGGCCCCTTAGACCCACACACGATCACGCCGTACAAAAGTCAGGGTGGGAGGATTTTGGCTAATTTCGGCCTCGGGGGCCCTCGCCGGGTTTCGGGGCCGGCAACAAAGCTGCTCAGGATGAGAAACCGGTCCCGGGGAAAGGGTCGGGATTGCCAGGGACCCCGTGTTGTCCCGGCCCTGCGCTAGTCCAGGCCTCCCAGAAGGGGTCGGAGCACAGTGGAGGCCCATGCCAAGAAACACCCTGCTTGCATCCAGGGTGCCCTCGGTGGTTCTGCTGTGGAAGGCGTGGCGCTCCCACGCCAAAAATCACCGGACGTCCTGGGGTCTCAGGGTTGGGTCTCTTGTGGAAGGTGCCTCGTGGTCGGGCTCCTACTGTGGTCTAGGCCCTCCGTTGATGGGGTCCTAGCAGCGCCCGCCTACATCGCCGTGACGAAAGTTTCTTTCAATTTTCCTTTTGGAATGACGCGCTCGTGCGGAGTAGTTCGGAGTAGTTTTACTAAAACTACTCCGCGCGCAATCGCATCCCGCTCGATAACTTATATGGTTTGGCGCGGAGTAGTTTCCGATCCCGTTTTGGGGTAACAGAGTTATTAACGTCTCCAGCATCGGAAACTACTCCGCCGAATGATCCCAGAATCATGTCATGTTAGGAATCTTGAGAGGGAGGGGAGAGATCTTCATCATAGCAAAGTGAAGAAACTTTTGTCACGACTGTGTAGGCCTCCGTTGATAGGGTCCGAGCCGATGGGGTCGGCGGATCTCAGAGGAGAGAAAGGCACCCAGGCATGATCGCGTCGTACAAAAGTCAGGGCGGCAGGTGTTTGGCCAATTTCTGCCTCGGGGGGCCCTCGCCGGGCCTCGGGACCGTCACAACACGACTCAGGACGAAGAACCGGTCCCGGGGAAGGGGTCGGGGCTTCCAGGGACCGCCGCCCTGGAAACAGCAGGACGTCGCATGTCTGGGTGCCCATACCTCTGCCCGTTCCTCGATGTCCCCCTTTTCTGGGCCTCTCGTGGGGCCGTCGTCGCCACGGCTGCATTCGCCGCGGAGATCTGGCCAGAACGCGCCCCGGGAGAGGTCCGGGGAGCAGCGGTATCGGTACCTTTTGGGTTCCCCCAGGATCGCGCAGCATCCCCGATGCGTCGGCGATACGGCTCGATATGGAGCCCGATTTTCTCCACGCCGACGTCTCCGATGCGTCGCCGACGTCGGCGGTGCACTGCCGATGCATCGCCGATGCGTTGGCGATGCGGCGTGATCCTCCGACCCCATCTAGCTGGCCTCTAGCTAGGCCTCCCAGATTCGAGGGGAGAAACATCAGGAACATCAAGCGGCTCTTGAAATGTAGACCTGCCCGACGCTCCCCGAAAGGTAGACCCCCGCCTGCCGCGCGCAGCCTGCAGTTCAAGATCCTTCGGATCGGGGTCTACATTTCAGGGTGCTCAGGTCTCGCGGGGGGTGACATTCCAAGGCCTATTTGGTCGGGGTATACATTTGAGCCTTTTTGCGCGGGTCTACAGTTTGCGGCCCTCTTCGCGGGCCCACAGTTGGAGGGCTGTTAACATTTCCCTGAAAATAGGGGGGCCATGGCCAAGATGTTGTGAGATCTTGTAGATGCCCGTCTTGGTCATGGTCCGTGCGGGCTGTCGCCGATTCGCGAGGATGATCCACGAATTGACGCTGGCCAAGATCGACGATGACCAAGATCGACACGGCATTTCCATGTTCAATTTTGGTCCTGGTCCCCATGTCTTTCCCTCCGTTGACTGGGTCCGAGCAGACGGGGTCTGATGATCGCGCCGCATCGTCGATGCATCGTTGATGCGGCTCGATGTGCAGCCCGATTTTCTTCCACGCCGAGATGCATCGCCGATGTCGGCAGTGCATCTGCGATGCTGCGCGACCCTCCGACCCCATCTCTTCGGACCCCATCGAGGAGGCCTTTACTGCTGCGCATCTTCCCTTGACGTGCTCGCGTCGTGAAGCAATCGCGACGGTATGTGTTTGGCCATTTTCGGTCTCCAGGGGCCGTCGCTGGGCTTCTGGACCAATATAGAACTGCTCGGGATGCAACACTGGCCTTAGGTAGAAGGTCAGAATTTCCAGGGACCCACTTTCTCTTAAACATCAGGACGTCGCATGCCCGGTTCCAAGTATCCCTCCTTTATGCGCACCTCTTCGTGTTTCTTTTCATGTTTCTCTTCCTCGATAGCTTCCACCTCCGTGCTTTACCATTCGCTCTCTTCCTCTCTCTCCTGGCCTCCTCCTCCTCCTCTTCCTCCTCCATCATGCGTCTTTGGCATTATCCTTCACAGTCGGGGGAAAGACAGTGGTGTATTACTTGTGGTACACTGCCAGGTGTGCGTGTGTGTATATACATATATATATATATATCAGAAGCCTATACGACTACCCTTCGGGTGATACGGAGGTTGGAGTGTGTGTGTGTGGGTGGGGGGAACCAAGTGCTGGCAAATGCAATTGGTGTGATGATGACAGTGCTGGTGACGGGCCCTCGAGTTAGCGACGACGCATGATGACGATGTTGCGGCGCGATGTATGGCACTATCGTCCCTGCTTTCGATCTCACTCGATCGATCCCACTATTGGCGCTTCGCGCCATGCACCTTGGCCCTTGAAGTTTGGTAGGCAGGCGGATTGGCAGGAAGGCCAAGTCGACAAGTTAGCGATAACGTCTTGTTACCTTTTCTCGCATCGCCGTTCCAATAGTCAGAGTGAGGGTGCCGAACGGTCATTCAGTGTCCCTGGGTGCGTGGCTGAAGTGGGGATCCGTGGTGGGGATTATGCTTGTTGCGTTGATGCCATTGTTGTTGTTGCTGTTGTTGCTGTTGTTGCTGTTGTTGTTGTTGTTGTTGTTGTTGTTGTTGTTGTTGTTGTTGTTGTCGTCGTCGTCGTTGTTGTTGTTGTTGTTGGTGTTGTTGTTGTTGTTGTTGGTGGTGTTGTTGTTGTTGGTGTTGTTGTTGTTGTTGCTGTTGCTGCTGCTGCTGTTGTTGTTGTTGCTGTTGCTGTTGTTGTTGTTGTTGTTGTTGCTGTTGCTGTTTCTGTTGTTCATGTTGTTGTTGTTGTTGTTGTTGTTGTTGTTGTTGGTTGTTGTCGTCGTCCGGCCCGCGACCCACTCGCGACTCACCCCGCGACCCACCCAGCGACCCACCCCGCGACCCCGCGACCCACCCGCAACTCCACCCGCGACCCACCCGCGACCCAGCCCCGACCCGCCCCGCGCCCCACCCGCGACCCAACAGCGACCCATCCCGCGACCCACCCCCGACCCACCCCGCGACCCATCCGCGACCCACCGGCGACACACCCGCGACCCATCCGCGACCCACCCGCGATCCGCCCCGCGACCCACCCGCGACCCACCCGCGACCCACCCCGCGACCCACCAGCGACTCACCCCACGACCCACCCTGCGACCCAACGCAACCCACCCGCGACCAACCCGCGACCCACCCGCGACCCATCCGCGACCCAACAGCGACCCACCCCGCGACCCATCCGCGACCCACCCGCGACCCAGCAGCGACCCACCCGCGACCCACTCGCGACCCACCCGCGACCCACCCGCGACCCAGCCGCGACCCAACAGCGACCCAACAGCGACCCACCCGCGACCTACCCACAGCGGTTTAACAAAAAAATCGGCGCCTGCGGCGGGCCTCTCCAGAGTTTCGCAGGCTGCCGAGGTCTCCACCGCCGCGACCCACTCCGCGACCCACCCCGACCCACCCGCGACCACCCCGACCCACCCACGACCCACCCGCGACCCATCCCGCGACCACCCGCGACCCACCCGCGACCCACCGCGAGCGACCCGCCCGCGACCCATCCGCGACCCATTGCCACCCGCGATCCACCCACGACCCACCCCCGTCCCACTCGCGACCCAACCGCGACCCACCCGCGACCCAACAGCGACCCACCCGCGATCCACCCGCAACCCACCCGCGACCCACCCGCGACCCATCAGCGATCCACCGACGACCCACCCTGCGACCCATCCGCGACCCAACAGCGACCCACCCCGCGACCCATCCGCGACCCATCCGCCCACCCGCGACCCACCCGTGACCAACCCGCGACCCACCCCGCGACCCACCCGCGGCCCACCCGCGACCCGACAGCGACCCACCCGCGACCCAACAGCGACCCACCCGCGACTTACCTGCGACCCACCCGCGACCCAACAGCGACCCACCCGCGACCCAGCCGCGACTTATTTGCGACCCACCCGCGGCCCACCCGCGACCTACCCACAGTGGTTTAACGAAAAGATCGGCACCTGCGGCGGGCTCGTTGTATGAGTTGCGATTATTTGGCGACTGCGGCTGGCTTCTCCAGAGTTTCGCAGACTACCTACGTCCCCATCGCCCCCCCCACTCTATCCGCATTTGCGGGGTGCTACGTATTGTTCGTTATCCTTCCTCCATGTTTCTGTTTCCTCTTTCTCGCCATACCCTGCGTGTTCTCCCCATCCTCCTGAGCTCTTTTTGCGGAGGCTCGACCTTGGACGGCCTTTGGGGGCCTCACAAAAGTTGTTCATGCTTTCTTAAGGCCTTCTGGAGACCTCATGGGCGTCTTCTGGGGGCCTCTAGGGGCTTCCTCGGACCATCCTGCCTCCAACCGCGGTCTCCCTGAACGACCCGGTTGTAGGGCGTCTTGGGGCCATCTTGGGCCGTCATGGCACTCTGTTAGGCCATCTTGGAACCCTGTTGTGTCGTCTTGGGGCTCGCTGACTGCCTGGAAGCTCTTTCGGATGGTTGTGGGGCGATTTTCTAGCCTCCCAGGCGGCTTCGGATGCCCAGAAGTCCGCCGTCTTGGAGCGTGGGGAAGTCGAAAGGAGAATAACCCCACAATTCACGAGAAACCATGCGAAAATCAATGAGTTTTGCCTCTTGGGGCCTTCTCGGGAGTGCTCTTGGAGGCCTCTTGGTACGTTTCGGAGCGATCTTGAGGTGTACGACGGCTTCTTTGGGGTCATCGTGGACCGTTTTGGGGCTCTTTGGGGTCGTTTCGAGAGCGCGCCGGAACGCCTTGAGCCCTCTGGGGCCGTCTTCGGGCTCTCCTGGGGTTCTTCCAGATCGTCTGGAGGGTTGCCCGAGAGGCCCGGGGTGGGCCAAGTTCATCATTCTGGGTGACCTAAAAGGGGGTCCAGCTGAAGAGGGGTGGTGCAATAGATTTGGGGCAACTGTATTGCAAATGGATTGCGCTGGAAATTGTATTGAAGTGTATTGCAAGTAATATGTATTGCACGCGAACATCCAGCCATACGTTTGCGCCCTGGAATGTATTGTACGCCCCAAATTCATTGCAACCCCACAAATCTGTTGTACCAAATCTATTGCACCACCCCCTTGTCGCTAGACCCCTGTTTGGGTCAACCCGAGTCACGGGGGGGAGGGGGGGGAGCGTTTTTACCTAACAGCTTTTGCTGATAGGTTTCTAGTAGGGTCAAAAGAGAGCATCATGACTCCTCAGATCAGGGGGGTCTGGGCGGGTGCCGGGAGGAGAACCGGGAATCGTTTTTCGCCAACAGTCACACACTTCGTGCTCTTCGACCTCCCAGAACTCCATTCCTGGGCCACATTCTGGAGAACCGGGGACCGAGCCGGGCTCGCTTTTCGCCAACAGTCACACACTTCGTGCTCTTCGACCTCCCAGAATTCCATTCCCGGGCGACATTCTGAATGCCCGGAGCCAACTGTAGGTCACTTCGTGCTCTTCGATTTCCCAGAACTCCATTCCTGGGCCACATTTTGGATGCCCGGAGCCAACTGTAGGCCACTTCGTGCTCTTCGACTTCCCAGAACTCCATTCCCGGGCCACATTTTGGATGCCCGGAGCCAACTGTAGGCCACTTCGTGCTCTTCAAGTTCCCAGAACTCCATTCCCGGGCCACATTTTGAATGCCCGGAGCCAACTGTAGGCCACTTCGTGTTCTTCTAGTTCCCAGAACTCCGCTCCTGGGCCACATTTTGAATGCTGAGGCAGGCTGATGCTGCGGCCGAGGCAGGCTGAGGCTGAGGCAGGCTGAGGCTGAGGCCGAGGCTGAAGGCAGACTGAGGCTGAGGCTGAAGCAGACTGAGGCTGAGGCTGAGGCAGGCTGAGGCTGAGGCTGAGGCAGGCTGATGCTGAGGCAGGCTGAGGCTGAGGCTGAGGCTGATGCAGGCTGAGGCTGAGGCAGGCTGAGGCTGAGGCCGAGGCTGAAGGCAGACTGAGGCTGAGGCTGAAGCAGGCTGAGGCTGAGGCTGAGGCAGGCTGAGGCTGAGGCAGGCTGAGGCTGAGGCAGGCAGGCTGAGGCTGAGGCTGAGGCTGATGGGCTGAGGCAGGCTGAGGCTGAGGCCGAGGCTGAAGGCAGAGGCTGAGGCTGAGGCAGGCTGAGGTTGAGGCTGTGACTGCGACTGCCGTTGCCGCTGCGACTGTCATCGCGAATGCGACTACGACTGCGAGAACAGCAGAATTCTACAACTGGATTTTCATCTGAGTCTTAAGGGGAATGCTTTCAGATATGCTTCTACACATCGCTGTTAGGTTGCTTTGCTGGGATAATTTTTACAGGGTCCCCGGCCCTCACAAAACATATGAATAGGGATGTGTCTATACATTTCGAAAACGTGTATATATAACCGATGTGTATATATATACCATCTATAAGAAGTATGCATGGGGAGAGAGAGAGAGAGAGAGAGAGAGAAAGGAGGACAGGAAACAAAGAGACAGATAATGCGACACAGAATGTGAAAGAGAGAGAGAGAGAGACAACCACAACAACAACAACAGAAACATTGCCCCCATCTCAGCCTTCCGCTGTCGCCCCACTGTCGCATCTAGCCCTGGAGCTTCAGTGAAGAGTTTTCCTGCTGATCCAAGCTGCGGCTATGACTGCTCAGCACATCCGCCTCGCCGTCGCGAGCCGACAGGTACACAAGAGCAACACATGCTGCGGATTGCTTTTGTTCGACCTCCTGTAGGTAGAGGGGGAACGCGGGAGTCTAGACCTCCTGGGCGCGATCGGAGTAGATGGGGTTGGAGGATCTCGCGGCATCGCCGATGCATCGCCGATGCATCGCCGATGCGGCTCGATGTGGAGCCCAATTTTCTTCATGTGGACGTCGCCGATGCATCGCCGACGTCGCCGATGCATCGCCGGTGCATCGCCGATGCATCGCCGATGCATCGCCGATGCATCGTCGATGTATCGGCGATGCGGCGCGATCCTTCGACACAATCTACTCCGACCCACTTTAGGAGGCCTCTAGCGGGAGGAGACCGCGGGCCAGGTGGGACCTGGAGCGCATGCAGCGCGTGGCGCACGTGGGCGGGCACCGGGGCTGCGTCTTCGCGGTGCAGCTGAAGGAGGGGGGGCGAGGGTCACGGGGACAATATTCGGAAATTGGAACAGGTACATTACCAGTGGCGGCCTGTTTTTCAATCCCAGGATTTTTGGAGGGTCGGGGACAACGTCGGGGTGGTGTGGTGCATAATTTGTGTTGTCCGTTTTCTTGGGAACAACCAGAAATGTATACACCAGGATCCCGTATACACCAGGATCTTCTTTCCTGTGCAAGTGTCAGCGCAGGGCCAGAAAAGGCGTCGGTGTATAGAGCTTGTTTCCCCAAGTACAGGCTGGACCCCCACCAAAAATCTACCTCAGGAGCGTTGTTCGCAATTCCTCTTCGTCTCCTCGCCTAATCGTGGCCTCTTTTATCATCATCCTCTGTATCCTCATCCTCGCCAACGTCGTCCTCCTCCTGCTCAGTCTCATCTTCCGCAGAGTTATCCCCCTCCCCGTCTGGATCCTTCTGTGGCAGGTTCACAAGCGGCACTCTTCAGCTTAGCGTGTCACGCCGCTGGTTCTCGCTTCGGCGTGACGCGCTATCCGCGTCCCCACTCTTAAGCGACAATGTCCCAAGCCTTTTCCCGGCCTCCCGCCCCGCGGAGCGGAGCGACGCGCTATTCGCTCGCAAGGCAGAGCGTGCCGCTGGGGCCGCCGCGGCATCACACTGAGCAGATTTTTTTGCTGGCCGCACGACAGTTGACGATCTCAAACCTGTGTGAGAGATTGCTTGGAGCCTCATCTTCTAGATTCCGGCAAGTTCCATTGCATGGAAGGGGGTGGGCTTGAACCTAAAGTAAACCGCAAGCGGCTTGCACGTGCGGAATCCACGCAAGTCGAAAGGCTCTTGCACGCCAGTGTTCGTCTGAAGAGGGGCGAGGCGGGGTGGGCGGGGGCGAACGCCATGCAAGTAAACTCGCCCGAGTCTAAAAAGACACAGACTCTTGTCCTTTTCCAGTTCCTCGAGTCCTCCTCCCCCTCCTCCTCCTCCTCCTCCTCCTCCTTCTTCCCCTTTTTCTCCTCCCCCTTTTTCTCCTCCTCCCCCTCCTCCTCAACTTCCTTTCCTTCCCTCGCCCGTCCGTCCACCCCCGCCGCGTCCCCCGCGGCGAAGCGCCCGCAGGGCCCGCCCGGCGCCGCCGGTCGCTCGCCCGCCTGGCTGCCGCGCCCCTCGCGCACGGAGGGCCCGGCCGCGGACGCCTTCGGGACAGGCGGGGCTGGGCGGAGGGCTGTCGCCCGAAGGCGGAGGAGGAGGAGGAGGAGGAGGGGGAGGAGGACTCGAGGAGGAGGAGGAGGAGGAGGAGGAGGAGGAGGAGGAGGAGGAGGAGGAGGAGGAGGAGGAGGAGGAAGGGGGGGACGAGTTGGAGGAGGAGGAGGAGAGGAAGAGGAGGGGGAATATGAGGAGGAGGAGCTGGAGGGGGAGGAGGAAGAGGAGGGGGAATAGGAGGAGGTGGAGCAGGAGGATAAGTGCTAACCCAAGACCCATCAACGATGTTGGGAGAAGTCCTTCCTCCAAGCTCCCTCTTCATATGTCCATACAAGTGGGCGCATTCACTGAGGGAACTGCCCTGTTGGGAGACATTCCGTTTGACGACCCTGAAGCGTGCCAGAACATTTCGGGATTCCAAAGCGGCGAATCAACATAATTGTTGCCTCTTGCTGATCTGGGATCGTGAGGGCTCCAATGCTTCGAATCAACGTTCCTGTTGCGCCCTCAAAATCCTGAGTCCTTCCAGAACGCAATTTTCGGCACATTGACCATCGGACTCCGCGAACATGTTGCGAATCTGTATCAAGGGTGTGCGCGGCGCCAATGCGAGAACAACGTTTTGAAAAGGAGCCGCCCTCAATCCGTAAAATGTGATTTTCTATCACGAATGCGCGCCGAGTTGAAACGAAAGCCACATGTTTTAAAACACCCGCCGTCAATCCGTGACACTTGTCAAAGTTTTTAATACGAATGCGCGTGTCGTTAAGGCGAGGGCCACATTTTGAAAACGACCCGCCCCCAATCCGCGCAACGGTCGTATTTTCAATAAACAAATGTGCGCAACGTTTAGGAGACAGCTACATTTTGAAAACTAATCCCCCGCCCTCAATCCGTAAAGCTCTTGCAAGTGTGTAAGACGAATGTGCGCGGCGCTGTGGCGAGCGCCACATTCTGAAAACGGCCCGCCCCCAATACGTGAAACCCTCGCAAATGTTTAGAACGAGTGTGCGCGGCGCTGAGGCGAAAGCCACATCTTGAAAACCACCCGCATTCCATCTGTGAAGGTCTTTCCACTGTTTAAGCTTCAGGGCCATCAGTGGTGTGGAAGTCTCAGGCGAAACGCCCGGCCCGCCCTTTCGACCAGCTCTGGGGTGCGACAGGGACGAGTTCTTCAGAAGGAAAGGAGAGGAAAGGAATGAAGGACGAGGAGGAGGAGGAGGACGAGGAGGAGGAGGAGGACGAGGAGGAGGAGGAGGAAGACGAGGACGAGGGCACAGCCCGGCCCAGCACCAAGCAGGCGCGGCGTGGAGCGTGGGGCGGACTGTCGCGGATCGGACGTGCAGTCTCGTCCCCTGCTTCTGCCTGCCGGCCCGCCTCGGTTCTCTCCGTTTTCTTTCTGCGAGGAGGGGGAGGAGGAGGAGGAGGAGGAGGAGGAGGAGGAGGAGGAGGAGGAGGAGGAGGCGGAGGAGGAGGAGGAGGAGGGGGAGGAGGAGGACGAGGGGGAGGAGGAGGAGGAGGAGGAGGAGGAGGAGGAGGAGGAGGAGGAGGAGGAGGAGAAGGAGGAGGAGGAGGGGGACGAGGGGGAGAAGGAGGCGGAGGGGAAAGGGGAAAAGGACCAGGTAGGTGCGTTCGCGCCTGATCCAACATCCTTCCCATCCTTTCCGTCCTCCAACGACAAGGCCACATCGTTTTATGCGCAACTGGGACAAGGGGAGTTGCGTGCGCAGGACGAGGAGGAGGAGCAGGGCTGGACCTAAACGCTGTTTTGCTGGACGTCGGCTGTGTTTGGTTTTTCGTTATGGCAGGGAGGTGTACGAAAACATGTGGAGCAACACGAGCAACATAACGACATCACAACGACACACGACCTTCAGGTCTAGCCCTGAGGAGGAGGTGACGGGCGAGCAGGAGGATGAGCGGGAGGAGAAGGATGAGGAGCAAAGCACCGATCCGAACATGTGGTCCGTGCTGCAGCGGGAACGACATTTTGAAACACCAGGATCCGCTGGATTGTAAACAAAGATGCGACTCACCAATGTTTGAAATCCTGTGCGCGTGTAGAGAGCACGCGGAGAGGGCCGAATATTTTCCTGACGGAGTCGGGGGAGAGAAGAGACTAGTACACGTACGCATTGTTTTACCAGCAGGGGTGGAGGAGGGAAGATGGGAAGAGGAGGAGGGGGGGACGAGGAGGAGGAGACGAGGAGGAAGAGAATCCCGCTGGAACTCGGCATTGACCATGATGTGGCGGGAGGAGCGGGATGCTTGCAAGAGGAGAAGGCGCCGATACTACTTGCAAGAGTCCGTTCCGGGTTCCGTTCTCGTCATCGCGTCCTGGCGCTGCCGTGGCGCTGCTTGTGGACGTTGGTGGGGGAGACGGGTCGTGGCGCTGCTTTGTCCCGGCGCGGGCCTGCTCGCTCACCCGTGCTCCTTGTTGCTCTGGCCGCCACGCGCGGCACCCGCTGACGCTGCGGGCCAGTGCGAGCCCCAGCGCCTGCGCGAGAAACGTATGCAGATGCCGCTGACTACCATTCCCCCCGTTGGTTATGCATACTGCCAAGGCCATACGGCAGGTGCTGCCGACCCTGAAGGGAGACGACGACGACGACGACGACGACGACGACGACGACGACGACGACGACGACGACGACGACGACGACGGCGACGACGACGACGACGACGACGGCGGCAACGGCAGCCACGACGACGCTGAGGGGGACCAGAGTCCTCAAACATGGTTCTTGGGGTCTCTTCGGAAGTCTCTCGGGGGCCTCTGGGAAGGAATTTCGGGGCCTCTTGGAAGGCTCTTTGGGGCCTCTCGGGGGCCTCTTCGGGGCCTATTCGGGCTTCCGGGGGAACTCTTGTGGGCCTCTTGGGGCCCCTGGGTACCCTCTGGGGGCCTCCTGGGAGCTACCGCTTACTACCATTCCCCCGTCGTTTTTGCATCTCTGAGCCTCTTTCTCCTCCTCCTCCTCCTCCTCCTCCTCCTCCTCCTCCTCCTCCTGGCGAGAAGGGATGAGTTCTACGAACGACTCCATGCGCCAGAGACGGGACCCGAAGAGTATCGTAGATTGGCTCATCGGCATCGGCGTGAACTTGCACGGCTACGAGGCATGTTCCGCAGGGCGTTCGGAGATCGGGCGCCAGACGGACAACGGCCGCCACCCTCACGACGGCCTGAATCAGATGACGATCATCAAGCAGGAGACCCCGTCGAAGCTGGCCTCAGTCGCGGCAGCTGGTGCTGCAGGCTTGAGCGGGCGACTGCTGGGAGTACGGAGGCCACGTCACCTGCAAGAAGGACGTGCAGAGTCTCCACGGCGGCAAGCGCATCGGCGGCAGCATCAAGCCCAGCGGGTGAGGGACCCCGGCGTGGCGAGGGGTTAGGCCACGATGCTCCCCAGCGCGGCGAGGGGTTAGGCCGATGGGAACATACACTGGCGTGCTCGAGCAGGTTAGCCAGGGCCGCGGCAGGCGACTACATCGAGCTCGAGCTCTACGAGGAGGACGACGACACTGCACCCCAGCACGGCGAGGGGTTAGGCCGTATCGACGATGAAGGACTCCTTCGAGGCGAAGGAGAACAAAGGGTCGAAGGGCGGCGTCATGATGGACAGGAGATAGTGGGGGTGCGGCTCCATGAGCACCATGACCCGATCTCCCCGAGCCAGGGACAGCCCGACGACCGCTCCGAGTGGAGGAAAGCACCCCAGCGCGGTGAGGGGTTAGACCGCGTCAATGAGAGGGAGCAGTACGGAAAGCAGTACGACCCACCCCAGCGCGGTGAGGGGTTAGACCGCAGCCGACCCTCGCAGGGAGACTGCGGGGTCAGGCGATCCCCAGCACGGTGAGGGGTTAGACCGTAGGCTCCCCCGGCGTGGCGAGGGGTTAGGCCACCAACCCCAGCGCGATGAGGGGTTAGACCGCGTTTTTCCCCCGCGTGGCGACGGGTTAGGCCACAATTTTCCCCTGCGCGGCGAGGGGTTAGGCCGCAATGTGTACTTCGAGCTGGAGCTCTACGAGGAGGACGACGTGGGTTTCACCGCCAGCGGCGAGTCGCAGGCGCAGCCCTGTGCGCCTGCCGCCGCCGCCGCCGCTCGCAGGCCCGCCGTCGTGAACCCTTGTGTGCCAGTGCTGGCACCAAGGAGTGGGCCCTCGCTGGCCAGAGGGCCGACGAGCGGCGGTGGAACTGACTGAGAGAGAAATCCACGGGCTCGCCATGTCGAGTGGGGGCTTCTGTGCCTGCTCGGGGTGGCGGGTCTAGTGGCGTGCCTAACCTAATCCTCCTCCTCCTCCTCCTCCTCCTCCTCCTCCTCCTCCTCCTCCTCCTTTATCCTCCTCCTCCTCCTCCTCCTCCTCCTCCTTCTCCTCCTCCTCCCCCTCCTCTCCACCCTCCCAGCATAAGCCATGGCAGCCCGTTTCTCCCACCAGCCAAACGCTGGGCCATCAGATTGTGAACTGCCCTTGCCGCCGAGAGAAGTCGTCGCCAGGACGCCAGGACGCCCCTCCCCAGGGGAGGCGAGGCGGCCTCCCGAAGCCCACGGGTTTTTTTGGGGGGAGCTGCCCTGGGGCTTGTCACCCAAAAGTTTGAGGAGGAGGAGGAGGAAGAGGAGGGGTAGAAGGAGGGGGAGGAGGAGGAGGGGAACCAATACATGTTCGCGCCGACAAAACATCACGACGGGAGGTTTTCGGGTACTTTCGGCCCTTCGGGGCCCTCACGTACCGGGCCCCAGGGCCGCCGAACAACGTCTCCTGATGCGAACCCGTCCAGGGGAATGGGTCGAGATTTCCGTGGGCCCAGGTTCTGAGAAAATATCGACGCGACGGAGGAGGCGGAGGAGGAGGCGGAGGAGGAGGAGGAGGAGGACGAGGAGGAGGAGGGAGGAGGACCCGTGCAAACGAGGAAGAGGAGGAGAAGGAGGAGGAGGAGGAGGAGCAGGAGGAGGAGGAGGTGGAGGTGGAGGAGGAGGAGGAGGAGGAGAGGGAGGAGGATCCGCACTTCTTACAAGTACCGCCAGGGACCCTTGGAGCGGTGTTCCAAGGGCCACCTGGCCTTGGTTCAATCAACCCCCTGAGGGCCGACCGGCCCTGGGGGGGAGGAGGGCTGCGATCGACGATCCGTCCAGCCGTCAGGAACAGGAGCAGGAGGCCTCCTCACGCCACAGGTCTCGGGGAGATGCCTCCTTTTTGTCTTTTCGTTTGTCGTTTTGTTTGCTCTCTCATTCTCTCTCTCTCTCTCTCTCACACACTTTCTCTCGCGTGGCGCTTCCTCGTCCCTGGCCTCGCATTTGCCTCCTTGCACCCCCGTTGACATCCAGCAGGCCGGCCTGGCTAGCATCTGATGGCCTTCGGCCGGGAAGGGGGCAAAACGGTAGGACCCCTTCGTGTTCGACCCAGTGTTTGTCCCCCCCTTTGCCCCCAGAGTCAAAGTTGGGTCGGGCCTCGCGGACGCCCTGGGGGGTTTTATTTGTTTGTCCTCTCACTCCTGCGTTGCCGAATGCCTGGGACGAACTTAGAATCTGGGGGGCGGGGGTGCGGAGTCAAGGGTTCAATGTTTTGTCCATCTACTGGCCCATCCCGCCACCGTGCCCAGGTTGTGGGTATGAAGCCTAATTACTGGATGTTCGCTGGGATCTCGTGGGCGGCCTCTCAGGGGCCTCTTTGGAGGCAGTTTGGAGTCCTCCTGCCAGAAGCCCCGTGAGATTTGAGGATTTGGGGTCCAGCCTCCGTAGAAGATCCTCAGGACTGAGGACTAAGGCTCAAGGGATTGAGCAAGGGATCTGAGGACACTCCAACTAGTGCCTCGCAGGCACAGTGGCGGATTTGATTTGGAGGTCGAGTCCGACCGCAGCAATATGTGTCTTTTGGGGAGTTGGAGGTCGACCGTCGAAATCTCCCTCTCCTCCTCCTTCCTTGTCCTCCTCCTCCTCCTCCTCCTCCTCCTCCTCCTCCTCCCTCAATCCCCGATCGCCCACTGATCGCCGATAGGGGCCTGATGGCCCACCCCGCCCAGGAACATGCGGTTCCGCTATAGAGAGATCGCCGCTCGATCGGCGAGGTATGAACATGTGTCGTCGATCCCACGTTGGTGCTCCCTCCCAGAGCCGGCCCCCCCCCATCGTTGCCCCTCGGTCGGAGGGGGAGGGAGAGGGAGGCGACAGGGTTGGGAGGGCGGAGGGCGGATGAGGAGGAGGGGGTGGAGGGCGGAGCGAGAGGAGGAGGATGAAGAGGATCAGGAGGATGAGGAGGAGGAGGGCGGATCAGGAGGATGAGGAGGATCAGGGCGGAGGGCGGAGCGACAGGGTTGGGAGGGCGGAGGGCGGAGGAGGAGGAGGGGGTGGCGTGCTCTGCTTCACTCGTGCCCGTCTGCTCCCCGCCGCACCGCCGCCTCCCACCACCGTCACTCGCGCCCAGGCTCCAAGTCAACGGCGTCCCTGAGGACACCCGACGCTCCGCGTCGGAGCGGGCATCGGGCGTTTCGTAATTGGGCGGTGGCCGATACATGGGAGGAGGAGGAGGAGGAGGAGGAGGAGGAGGAGGATGAGGAGGAGGAGGAGAGGAGGAGGAGCAGCAGGAGGAGGAGGAGGAGGGAGAGGAGGAGGAGGGAGGAGGAGGAGCAGGAGGAGGAGGGAGGAGGAAGAGGAGGAGCAGGAGCAGGAGGAGGAGGAGGGAACCTGGCACGAGGAGCGGCATCCGCCGTCATGATTCCTTCGCTCCGCGGCCCCCGGGGCCCCGACCGCAGGCCGGGTGGCCGTCCTTCGCCCCGCGACCCGCTTGCGATGGCCCTTGGGGCCCGAGAGCGGGCCCCGCACGGGCCGACGCCGACGAGAAACGACGGGCTTGGAAGAGTTCAGCTCGTCGGAAATGCTCGTCCTCCCCCTCCTCCCAGACCCCCGACGTCGTGATTCGTGCACGGCGCGAGCCCCTCGAGAAGTCTGGACTCCTTCCCGGGGGACCGGGATTCTCGTCCCGAGTCGTGCTCTGACGGCCCCGGGGCCCAGCGGAGGGCCCCTAGAGGTCAGAGGCCGAAAATGGTGCAACACCTCCCGGCGTGATTTTTGTCACGACTCGAGGGGGTCCGGGTCCGATCACCCCCCGTGTTGAAGATGGGCTCCTTTCCGTCCTGCCGGGAGTGATGGGTCCGTTTTCCACCACCACCACCACCATTAGTTGGAGGGGGGAAGGAGGAGGAGGAGGAGGAGGAGGAGGACGAAGAAGAGAACAGGAGGAGGAGGAGGAGGAGGAGGAGGACACCCTCCCCCTCCAACTTGTGGTGGTGGGGGTGGAAGCAGGCCCATCAGGGAGGCCCACCCCCCCCCGCTGGAGCAGGAGCGCGGCCGCCGACGAGCGCGACCCCAACGGCCTCGTTGCCCAGCGGCTGCCCACCGCGGCGTGGACGCGCGGGCCCGGCTGGTCGAGGTGGCCAGGCTGA